ATCTGAAACACTTCATGTCCTGCTCCCTTTCTCTTTTGCCTTGTAAAAGTGGTCAGGAGCAGCATAAGGTTCAGCTTTAAGACAACTGAACCTCCCTAAGTAGAATGGACCCCTTGAGTGACCAGGTGGACTAGATTCCCCATGGTGATCCACATTGTACATGTAGGATGAGATAAAACTTTGTGTAAAGCTGCAGAGATTAGGGTATTGTTTGCATTGCAGTATAGTTGGCATTGTGATATCACTGTGAGCATAACCAACTCTGCCTATGGTAAGAGCCAGTGTCATTGAATGCTACTTTGTTCCAGGAACCAACTGGTAAGTTCTACATGCTTACTTTTATATCAAAACATGTTCTGATGGCCATTAACGTTATCATGCAGGTCACATATGACAGATACATATATTAATAGTATAGAGATTTATCTATATGTGAATATAGATATGCCATATATCTGTAATATGTTACATATTTCTAATAACTTTTATATAAGGAGTCTTTGTTCCATTCCTCATATTATGTTCAAAGAGCTGTCTCCCTTACTCACTCCATCTGAGTGACGATCTTGGATGCCATCTCTTCCTCCTTTACATTATTATTATTATTTCTTCATTCTCTTGAATCTGGTTTCCTCACCCTCTATTCATTTTTCTTTATCTTCTCTGTTATTTCCAAGGTTTACCAAAGTTCCCCATCTACCTACCTTATTCCAACTATATCTCCTTTTCCAGTGTATATCTACTGTCTCTAGTGTTCAAATTCGGTTCTTTCCCTGTTTTCCCCAGTAAATAACTGTTTAAATATTGTTTCTTCCCCCCTCACATTAACAAACAGCTCTTTGCTGCACCCCTAAGGATGCCTGCACTAACAAGTGCATTAGGAAGTTGTTGCCTTACTTCAGTTCTCAGCATCATGTGACACGACTAACCACACCCTTCTGTTGAAACACTTTTTTGGTGGGATCTCCCTCTGTGGTTGCTCGTTCTCCTTTCCAGCTTTATCATGTGTTAGACTATTAAATGGTGGACGCGGACAAGGCCCATTACAGTTTCTTTTTTCTCTTCTCATGTTAGAGTTACATTTTCTCCTTTCACCTTATAATACTTCCTCATGCTGCTATCATTCATAGACTCATCCTTCCCACAAATATGTCCCTCGATCTGGGACTTCTGATTGCCAGTTACCTACTCAGCCCAATACCTCCACTTTGATGTCTTAGGGTGCTCCAGACTCAATTGACCATGTCCTTCCTGTAGGATAACATTGGGTTTGTCCTTTCAGTCTTGCCGCAGGGAATTTAGTTTACCTTAAAGCAATGTCCTTTGTGTATGTACACAGGAAGACAGTTAATATTATGCTTTTGTAACTTGGGGGTTGATTGACTCTTGATAATATTTGTTCCTGGGCATCTGCTTTCTTAACTCAGTTGCCCTTAGTTCCTAGCACCCCAAAATCATGGTACTGACGAAGGACTGAATGAACCCAGGGCAAGCTGTGAGCTTCTCTGGCATCGAAATGGACCAGGCCAAAGAACCATAATACTCAACTATCAATTGAGAGTATGATCATGGACAAACGCTGTCATGATCCAGAAGTAACGACGAGATTAGGACCCTGCTGGGGTTAGGAAGACTAACCTGGCCTGAGGACTGTGGTCTGGAATATATAGTGAGATGTCCTCAGGAAGAACCAAACTTTAAGTTTGATATATCTCTTACTGTGTTCATACAGGATGACATTGCTAGAAATATTAGCAGTAGATTTACTACAACTAATTAAGTGGATTACTAGCTGAGGAAAGAAGAAAGTAACACACCCTGGATGGGATCCCTCCCTTAAACAGATCTCCTAGTATTCTGGAGTAATCTCTTTAGATGAGAATTTATCCTTGAGTTAATCTCCTGGAGGAGTGGCCTTAACCTCTATTTGTTGATTTGTTAATGTTCAACCCACCTTTGTATCACCACCCTATGTGATTGCTATATAAACTAAGACTGGAAGAGCGGAAGGGTCAGAGTCAGAAGTGAGAGTGAGTGAGAATCCAGAGAGAGAAGCAGAAGGGCTCCAGAGAGAGATATCGGAAGAGACCAGAGGAGAGAATACAGAGACAGAATCAGAAATAGAGAGACAGACAGAAGAGAGCACAGCAGCACACAGAAGCAGAGCACAAAGGAGGAGCCATCCCCATCTGGTCCATACTCAGCGGCTCAAGAGCACCAAACATGGGTGGTGAGAGAGAGTTGACCAGAGAGCCTGCGAACAAAACACACATCACATCATCATCCCTTCCTTGCGCAAATATATATATATATGATATATCACATATATCATATATATACACCTACTCAACTCTCCTGGTACTATACCTACTGAACCCTCCTGGCAGGGCTCTGGGGACCATATGTGGTACTGAGGATTAAATCTGGGGACAGCCGAATGAAAGGCAAGCAACCTATCCACTGTACTATTACTGGCCTTAAAATATTTTTTAATATTTTTTAAAGCCAACTAAAACATGTTATAACCAAAGTCTTTAGAAATTCTGATTTTACTGTAGCAACTATGACAATGCCTTTAAAGTCTAGGAATGCTTTCCAAAATAATTTAGCGTTTGTTTTTGCTGTTTCTATAAAAATTGTTTGGTAGTCCTGCACTACATAGGAGTCAGTAGATACCATTTCCTGTTGATTATGCTGCTAAAATAGCTTTTGATATGCCAGCACTTGTCTAGTGTCAATGTACTGTATTCCAAGCCAGCATGACTGCTGGTCTCAATTGCTGCAAGGGCTCTGAACCCTCCTCTTTGTTCTAATTAATGCTCCCCAAGCAGAAAGGCAAAATTAATTCAGTAATACACATAACTGATTCTATCACTCTTGCATAAAGCCCCTCGATGGTTTCCTATTGCTCTGAAGTTCTGTAAAATCTCAGATTCTGAACAGGTCCAAGATCTCCCATCTTATCAGGATCCCAGCGTCACCTCTTTGAACCCTTGGAAAGAGTCAAGCTCTGTGGGATCCTTTGAAGATTTACTTTCTGCCTAGGCTCTCTCACCATTCTTTCCCAGCTTCTCCTTCTTCAGTTCTGAGATCGAATGTTCTCAGATAACCGTTTCTTAACCTCTTATACCAGACCGTTGCTCCTTGATGTTACTTCATAACTCCCCCTTTACTTTCTAGGTAAATGATTATTAGTATATACTTTAATCTCTCCACTGTGAAAAATTAGTAACATGCTCTAGTGCACACAGGAATTTAGGGATCCTTGAATTCAGTTTTGTCTTATTCTAAAGCCCATGACCACAGCAATCACATGCACCTATATTTACTGTTCTTGGAAAATGACTTTTTACCTTTATTTTATAATAGCCAATTGCTGAGCATAGGAAAGTAAGGGTTGACTGTAGAAAAACATAACGTTTCTGAGGGAATTCTAGAACAACTGTTCTGATGCAGGTAAAACCCTTTGCGCACGTTTCTTTTAGTAGCAAATCTTTCACCTGGGTCTTCACCTTCTGTGAGAGGACACAGAGGGGCTAGTGTTTAGAGTATGGGCTGGAAGAGCTAAACTAGACCCCAGTTGTCCCATTGTATAATCTTCACATTGGATTGCTAGCTATCTTACAGATGGGACTCATACAGTTGGGACCCATACATACTGGGACTCATTCAATCTATCTCTAATATATTAAGCATGATTATTATATATAGTGATGTATAATTATATGATGTTATGAGCGATAGCACAGCGGTAGGGCGTTTGCCTTACAAGCGGCCAACATGGTCGACCCGAGTTCGATTCCTCCGCCCCTCTCGGAGAGCCCGGCAAGCTACCGAGAGTATTCGATATGCCAAACACAGTAACAACAAAGTCTCCAATGGAGACGTTACTGGGCCCGCTCGAGCAAATTGATGATCAATGGGAGGGGCTTTACCTTTACCTATGTATATATAATATATTCATAGCATATAGTATATATACTATGCTAATGTATGTCAATATATTTTATATATTAATATAATATGAAATATGATATATTATTCATTTAAATAAGATTATAATTAATATCCTGTATTAATTAATGTATATTATGTGATTATATAATACATAATATACTATTGTGATTATATTCTTATTTTCTAAAGCATAGAATGTATTATTACTACATACTGTCACTGTCCCTGTCCTCCCGTTGTTCATTGATTTGCTCGAGCGGGCCCAGTAACGTCTCCATCATGAGACTTGTTGTTACTGTGTTTGGCATATCGAATACATCACCGGCAGCTTGCCAGGCTTTGCCATGTAGGCGAGATACTCTCGGTAGCTTGCCAGGCTCTCTGAGAGGGGCGGAGGAATAGAAATTACTACACAATATATATTATATATACTGTATTGTATATTAACATATATCATACAATAGATATTACACATTAAATATATGATAAAGCATAGTGATGTCATCACTAATAAGGAAAAAATTGGTAATTGCTGAATTCCTTTAGAAAAAAATTGAGGCATCACAGTTCAAACTAATAATTGATATTGTATAAAATACACCTTTCAACTTTTAATGATTTATATATATTAGCTATATGTAATATTTATTATGCAATGTAATCCGTGCTATATATTATATAGTCTTTAATACCATTTAGGATTTGGGATGCCCTACAGAGTGCCTATCTCATTTACACATGGTGACTATTACTAGTACTGTAGTTCTCTGTAGACGGTTGCTTGTGTCACATCAGTTTGACCGTTAACACGAGACGTTTGAGACGTTGGTTACTATCCTAACGAGTAACGGTTAACGGCTTTAAATTATCTCTGCTTGATGCGACGGCCCCTTCCAGGGATGAGCAGTTGCAAGAGCGCGGCACTTTGAATTTGCGCCTGCGCGACGCCACGCGCTCTATTGCCCCGCCCCCTGCCCCATCTCTGCGCATGTGCAGCCCCGCCTTCCTCCCTGCGCCACGCCCCCGTTGCCCTTAGCGGCTATTTGTTGACTTCCGGTACGCGATAGTGTGGGCTCTTCGGAGGGTCGCTAATGGGGGTCCGTTGGGCCTTTGCCGTCTGTTTCGGAGCCAAGGCCCTGCCTTAGGCCCGACGCAGCCACCCACTGTTTGGACCTGGTGCAGACCCAGGTTGCCAGGATGCCCCTCGGCATGGGGGACCCCGATGAATTGGTGCCCGGTGAGTCGCGGCTGCGTAGTGGCGGCGGGCTGGGGGAGGGTCCACGGGCGGGCGGTTGGCCAGGCCCCGCCTCCTGGCCGCCTTGTCTTCGGGGAAAGGCCCAGGCCTCTGCGGCCTTGTTGCGGGGGTGGGCGGCTCCACTGTCACAACTGTCACCGTAACCTGACGAGTGACTTAAGGGAGAAGAAAGATGGTGCCTTTCTAATTTTAAAATCAGAAGACCGGAGAGGTCTTTTAAATTTAAAAATAAACTTTCGTTAGTTTCTGTTTCGATGGGTTGCTCTTTAACCTTCTTGTAAATTTCATGAGCTTTTGACCCGCGAGTGGGGGCGAAGGGGCTGAAAAAGGGACCCTTTAATTAGACTTTTAAGGACCTTATTCCGCTGGGTTTCAGTAATACACTTGGCCTTGTGACCCGGTAGCACATTCGTACTCTTAACAAAAACGTATGTTTCATGTGGCCGCACATTAACTGCGAGGGATGCCCGCATCTCTGTTCTGTGATAACATTAACGTTTCAAATGGGGATAAATGGGGATCGTAGCCTGCTCATTGATTTTCTGACCCCTGCAGGAATGGGAAACATCCAATCCGTTAGGCCCGCGAAAGAATTTGGTCTCGGCTTGCAGGGGCAAGCACAACATAATAAGATCTGAGCAAAGATAGCAGGCTCATTGTTGAACTTGATTGGCGTGGTCCCCACATATTGTGCTAAGTGTCCAAATGATCCTTGGCAGAAAAAAAGGTTAAATTACCCACCCTGCCAGTTGGAATAGCGAAGAATCAGAGATTCACCGAAATTTCCTTTGCGTCTTCTACCTTGAATGACTCTGAGCTGGTTAGAGGCTGGTCTGCTAGAGTCCCCTAGCTTGGGGAGGAGTCAAGAACAAAGGGGCAAAAGCCCTTTGCAGGCTGAGGGTCAGAGCAGAGCCTGCAAATGGCTGAGTTGGGGCAAGAGTATCTAGTTTTGTGCTGTTTTGTGCTGTTCTGTTTTTTTTTTTTGATGGAAAGCCAGAACAGCACTAAACAGTTCAAATTTTAGAAGAACAGAGCCTTCCCCCCCCCCCCCCAATTTCAGTTTTACTAGTTTAAACTGTGATGCCTCACGATTGTTCTCTAAAGGATTTCCATAATTACTAGTTTTTTTTCCTTATTAGTAGTGACATCACTGGGCTTTCTGGTACCCATTATTTGTCCTTAGGTTTGTTGGGTATGTTTTGGCAGTACCAGGGATTGGATACAGGGCCTTAAACATGAGAAGCAGTGCTATACGCTGAGCCTCTCCCGTCCCCTATTTCTTTATGTGTGTTCTCCCTGGATATTTATTTCCTCAAAAGCTAAATCTGGTGCTTGTGTGTGGAAATGGTTACTGAGAACTAGTAGGTGTTTTTGATCTCCTCGAAGTGGTACTGTATCAGAGTTTGTGCTAGTACAGTCTTTTATGCCAAATGGTACTTAATGTATGGTTATCCTCCAAATTTTCTCGAAAGATAGATTCATCCTTTGTATTTGCGTGTGTTTAAATGGTTATTAATAACTAGTCGAGGGGTTTGTTATCTTCAAAATGGTACTGGATTGAGAAGTTTGTTAATGCTGCTGGGGGCTCTTTTCAAAAATGGCATTTTATGTGTGATTATCCTCAAGATTTCCTTAAAAGTTATATGTGGCATATGTTTGTGTTTAAAATAATTATTGAAATTAGTAAGGGTTTTACTTTCACTTCTAAATGATACTTTATGTGTGATTGAGTATCCACCAGATTTCCTTAAAATCTAGATTTAGCCTGTGTATGTGTGTATGTATAATGCTTATTAACAAGCAATGGGGCTTTTGGTCTCTTCAAAAGGTTACTGGATCTGGGGCCAGAGTGATAGTACAGCGGGTAGGGCATTTGCCTTGCACATGGTCAACCTGGGTTCGATCCCTGGCATCCCATATAGTCTCTGAGCTTCTCCAGGAGTAATTCCTGAGTGGGAAGAGGGAGAGGGAGGTATAGAGAGGAGGGAGAAAGGAGAGAGGGAGGTTTGTGAAAAGTTTGTGGATGCTACTTAGAGCTCTTTTCAAAATGTTGCTTTATGGATTTTCTGAAAAGATCTCACCTCTTTATATGCATTTATATTTGTGTGTGTTTAAAATGGTTATTGAGAATCATTAGGGCTTTTGGTTTCCTCAAAATGATACCTTGAGTGTGAACATCTTTGAGATATCTTCTCTGTGTGTCTGTAAATGATTATTGAAAAACAAGGGTTGTCAAAATCTGGAAAAAGCCAGAGTGCCCAAGAACAGATGACTGGTTAAAGAAACTTTGGTACATCTACACAATGTAATACTATGCAGCTGTTAGAAAAGATGAAGCCATGAAATTTGCATATAAGGGGATGAACATGGAAAGTGTCATGTTAAGTGAAATGAGTCAGAAAGAGAGGGACAGACATAGAAAGATTGCACACATCTGTGGAATATAAAGTAACAGAATAGGAGACTAACACCCGAGTAGTAGAGATAAGGACCAGGAGGTTTACCCTACTGCTTGGAAGCCGGCCTCACATGCTGGGGGGAAAAGGCAGCGCAGACAGAGAAGGGAACACCAAGTAACGGGTGTTGGGAGGACCCGCTAGGGTTAGGAGCTGCCGAAAATAGACTATAGACCGAACACGATGGCCACTCAATACCTCTATTGCAAACCACAGCACCCAAAAGGAGAGAGAGAACAAAAGGGAATTCCCTGCCACAGAGGTGGGGTGGGAGGGGATGGGGGGGGGGGAGGGATCCTGGGATCATTGGTGGTGGAGAATGGGCACTGGTGGAGGGATGGGTACCCGATCATTGTATGACTGAAACGCAAACATGAATGTTTGTAAGTATGTAACAGTACCTCATGGTGATTCACTAATAAAAAAAAGGAAAAACAAGGGTTGTGAGTAATTTCCAAAATGGTACTGTACAAAAAAGTTTGTGACTTTCTTCGTGTGTGTATTTAAATGGTTTTTGAGAACAGTAAGCGGTTTTGGTCTCTTCAGAATGGGTGAGATGAAATTTCTCAATTAAGAAGTTTGTTAATGTGACTCAATTCTTTCTTCAGAAAGGTGCTTTATGTATGATTATCCTTGAGATTTCCTCAAAAGCTAGATCTGACATCTTTCTCCCCCCACCCTATTTGTATATGTGAATGTTTATTGAGAAACGAGTATCTTTTCAAAATGCTACCAGATTGAAATTTTTCTGAATATTACAGAGGTAGTGGTTAATGCAGTAGCATTTAATCAAACATATTTAATTATTTGATTTAAGAATGTTAAATCTCAGCATTCTGAATCCTCACAAATAATTTAATAATACTGTACTGTTTTTGTGCATGAAGATTAGTCCCCAGCCAGGTGTTAACCAACCTGATAAGTTACCAATTACATTAACTTATTCCAGGTAATAGATAGCTATCTTGGTAGTTCCTGAAGACCACTGCCTTTCTTGTACTATGGCTCTGTGCACCAAATAAGTAAATAATACACCTTTCATTAGTATATTTCATAACAAAACTAAAATGAACTATAATTAGTATAATGGAGTAAAGGAGGGAGAAAGGCATAAAATAGAGCTAAAATGGAGTGAGAAATGCCATAAGACTAATCTGTAGAGATAGTGGAAAATATTTTGTGAACAGGCAACAGTATAAATTGTAAAATATGATTATTTGCAGATTCGGGTGCAGTTTTCACATTTGGAAAAACTAGATTTGCAGAAAATATTCCAAGCAAATTCTGGTTTAAAAACGATATACCAATATGTCTTTCATGTGGTGATGAGCATACTGCTATTGTTACAGGTTAGTATTAAAATCCTAAACGAAACTTGTAATACTTAGAGAACACCAGATATAGAAGGTGCTTTCTCACCATGTTGAAAATATGTAGAAAGTTCATTTTTTACTTTACCAGAGATTTCTTGATAGTTGATTTATCAAGAGAACTTTTAATATTCTAAATTCCCTTGTTTATTTAACAAAAAAATTATGTCTAATCATAGAAACTCCTATCTGGCAGAATTTACTATAACAAATATGGACAAGGTAACTTGTTTCAGCATGGAAAAGCAAGGACTACTTTCAGATATAGCTTTTTAATTGTTTCAAAATGTCTTCAATCTTCCATTTCTTTATTATGAAAATGTTCTTATTTCTTTTTCCTTCCTACCAGGAAATAATAAACTTTACGTGTTTGGCAGTAACAACTGGGGCCAGTTAGGATTAGGATCCAAGTCAGCAATAACCAAGCCAACATGTGTCAAAGGTTTGGGGTCTTTGTCTTTTTACTCACTCTAAGTTCTAACAAACTATAGAAGATACTTTTATATTGATTGTATAGTTCTTTAATTTCATGTTATAAACAATGAAGCCTTTATTTCTTTGTTTTTGAACATTTAGTTGAATATTGTTGGTGTTTTATATTGTATATACAATTCAGAAGCACCCTTACATATTAGGGTCTAAGAGCACATCGATTACAAACCCAGAGTCCCCTGAGGAAGTTTTACACTGGCCATCTATTTGGGTTTTTTCACACTTTTTCATCTTTTCATTTACATCTTTTCATTTCATTTGCATATTTTCGTTTTGCTTACATCTTTCTTTTTTACAGTTTTATACTGACCATCTTTTTTTAACCTACTTATACATTAAATATTACTGATTTTGTATATATAGATAACAGTGCAGTGTGGCAGAATTTTGAGGTCTGTCTTGTTTAGAGCTTTGTATTGGTATTATATAGTTGTTGGTTTTCTAAAACACATATTTTCCCAGCCGTATTTATGGCCAGATGTATCAAAAAAAATGTCAGGATTGAGAAGCTTGATTAGCTCTTATGTTTTTACAAGAACAACAGGACAACATTTTAAAATCAATCCCAGAAAATATTGGGCAATTGCTGCCTTTACAAAACTTTCTCATTTTTATGCATAACACTTCTGTTTGACTATAACTTATGAACATCAGTTAAACTTGAAGACTGATATGTGATTAGCAGTATTTTTATCATTGTCAATTTAAGTTTTAGCTCAAAATTTTGTTGTGATTTATCAAATTCATGCTATTTATAAGTATTGTAGAACTTTCAAGATACTTCTGCTTAAAGCTTATTTATTGAGCATAGACTGTGAAATACTTATATATGTTCTTGGTTACTCTGATTCTCACTCGCACATACATAACAGTCTAACAAGTTTATCTAGAGAAGCATTTTCCAAAGTGGGTGATAATGCTACCTGGATAGGGGTTTGGGGGGAAAGGCTGTGCTGAAATAGTAGCTTGGGTGCAGTTAGAGGTGCTTTCTGTTTGTTTAAAGAAGGATTATTTCCAGGGAGCATTCAGTAATCATTATTCCTGAAAATGGGCCAAATAAATTTAGAAAATAAATCTCTTTGGGGAAACCTCTGGTCTAGAGTATGAGATTCTCGAGACTGGGTACTCTGATTTAGTTATTTTTGCAGCCCCCAGAAATATTCAGCCATAAGAATTCAGTATTTGTTCTTTGCATGTTTTATGAATGAATGCCTTGTAGCTAATGTAGGTGCATGCCTATTAATATTGGACTTTGTTTCATTGATTGAGGTAGAAGGTGAACACTTGGTGGTTGTGATAGATTAGGTAATAAATAGATCAAGATGGTGAGAAGGGGCAGAATAAGTAAATTCAGAAGATCTGAATGCAGAGTAATTATTTAAAATATATAGAGGTTCCAATGCCTTACCTCAGATTCAGGTTCCCCAGGGGTCTGGCTGATCTGTAATTTTTTCTCAAAATTCTATCAGTTATTATGATACACAGTTCTGAAGACCTTTGCTTTCATGATTGAGAACATCAACTATAGGATCAGACAGGCCTGCATTGTTTATCATTTTCATAACCATAAATATTTTGTCATTTTTAATTTTAGCATTAAAACCTGAAAAAGTGATATTTGTTGCCTGTGGAAGAAACCACACCCTAATTTCAACAGGTATAGTGTTCAATATGTATGTATGGCTTCCTGCCCTATATGAGGACCAAGCTCTCATGCCCGTAGCATAATTTTGTAAAAGTAATAGAGTCAGTACTTTGGTAACGGTAGGGTTAGACTTTAAAAATGTAAATAAATGATTAGTATACTTGTTCTGCTTTTGGAAATATGCTAAGTCTTCACTGGTTGAAAAAAAAGCTGTTTTTTTCTTGGATTATACAAGGGACAGAATCTCCTTGCCTGTTCACATCTCAGGCTGGTTGCTTCAATCTCTGGTCTTCCTTCTATCTGGAGGGTAAGCAGAAGACTCTCAAAGGCTATGTGATTTCAAAGTCCAAGCTTGAGGGTAAATCAAAAACCCTAGAATAGCCTAAATAATTTAGAAAAGAACAAACAAGCTCTATCTGATTTTAAGACCTACTGGAAAAGGCCAGCAATTAGGAAAGTCTGCTGTTAGGTAAAAGATAGGAAAAGATTAGTGGAACATAATAGATTTCAGAAGATGCCCAGGCAATTCACTGGAGAAAATGTAGACTTCAATAATTGCTTTTTAACAAGTACAGGCCCTGACACCCTAATATACCTCCTTTCCCTCATACCATTTCATCTGTCTTCAGACTATTATTGCCTCCCTGCCCTTTTCCATACTCTTTCCGTACTAAAGGGCCTCCTTCTCATATTTAGATTCTTGTCTTTTAAGATTCAGTATGTCTTACTTTTCCCAAAGAGCTTTTTATGACTTTTAAAACATTTAGTCATGTAATTATTCTTTTTAGTACTGTAGTAACTCTGGTTGCACTATATGTACTGATTGTGCTGCTTAATAGTATGTGGCCTTATATTGTCATTCATTTGAAAGCTGTGTTTATTTCCTCAGCTAGCTTCATTTTCCTAAAATAATACCTAATTAAAAACCTTAACTGATTTCTTCCCTAACTTCCCCTTTAATTTAGTGAGGATAGCTTCCTGGATATTGTTATGACAGATACCACTAAGTTTTAATGTTTTTAAAACTGTTCATTAATTTGGAACTTACTGGAAGTGCTTATTGTCTAGACATATATTTATCTAGTGCTGAGAGTGACCCAGATGCTATTCTAAGAATTTTTAAATAGTAACTAATTTAATCTTCATAGTAGCTCTGTGAATTATATCCTGTTGTCACCCATTTTACACATAAGGAAAATGAGACCAAGAGATTTTTTTATTCAGCTTATCCAAGGTCATTTATCTATTGAGTTGCAAGGCTGAATATGCAACCAGGAAATCTGTCTCTGGAGTCCTAACTCCTAAACAGCACGCTGTACTTCATTCCAGTTTGACTGAATAAAAAAATTTAAATTACATGTCATTTTCATTTTTATAATAGTTTTGGATTTGCTTAAATTTATCTATTTGCTACCTGTTGTTTCTTAATTTTAATGTGTATCTAATTTGTGCGATAGCACAGCAGGTAGGGTGTTTGCCTTGCATGCGGCTGACCTGGGTTCGATTCTTCTGTTCCTCTCTGAGAGCCTGGCAGGCTGCCAAGAGTATCCCGCCTGCACGACAGAGCCTGGAAAGCTCCCCGTGGTGTATTCAATATGCCAAAAACAGTAACAACAAATCTCACAATGGAGACATTACTGGTGCCCGCTCAAGCAAATTGATGAACAATGGGAGGACAGTGTTACAGTGCTACAGTGCTAAGTTAAAATTAATAAATCACTTCATTCAAAATTCTGTGATTTGGAATGTAAACTAATTTGGATATGTTTCCTCTTTTTTTTTGGTTCTGAATTAATGAATTGTTACAATAGCAAGGAAATATATTCTAAACATTCTATGCATTTCAGTTGCTAATTAAAATCCAGAATTATTTCTAGAATGAAATTTCACAGAAGTGTAACCTTGTTTTTTTTTTTTACAAGTGAAAATTTTTCATCAGTTTATAGAACTATCCTGACTTTCTTCACTGTTATTAAATAGAGGAAATTCCTGGTATATACTGACCTGTGTCATAAAGATAGTGACCATGGTTTACTGATGTTTTCTTTTCAATGTGTAGAAAAAGGCAATGTATATGCAGCTGGAGGAAATAATGAAGGGCAGCTGGGACTTGGCGACACTGAAGAAAGGAACACTTTCGAGCTAATTAGTTTTTTCACTTGCGAGCATAAGATTAAACAGCTTGCTGCTGGATCTAATACTTCAGCTGCATTAACTGGTAAGACTTTCATGCTGGGACATATCTTTTTAGAGAGAGGCTTTACCTACTCAGTAATTGAACGCAGCTTTATTAGTTTTCTTTTATTCATTATGTGTTTTTAGAAGAAATTTAAAATAGAAGTTTACATCATGACATATTTTACAATGTTATATTAATTTAGACTTGGTATGACTATTTACTCAAAAGGTAATTGTTAATTGCATTACCTTTTCTACTGTATGTGTTCTCAAATGTCGTTTTCATTGTGTCTTCTGAAAGTTAACTTGCAGCTTGAATGAACTTGCTCTCAGAAGTATCATAGAAATCGGTTGGATATGTGGAGGTGATAATATAGTTTGTAAATGACATCACACCTCTCTATCCTCTTTATGAGAAGTTCATCTGAGACATTTCTTTAAAATTCAGAGCCAAGGGGGCTGGAGAATTGTACAGAGGGCAGGGCTCTTGCCTTGTACATGGTGGCACCCCATCTGGTCCCCTGAGCAACACCAGGTATGATCCTTGAGCACGGAGCTAGGAGTAAGCCCTGAGCACTGCAGGGTATGTCCCAGACCAAAAATAAATTTAAGAAAATGTTAATACAAGATAAAATCCAGTGCCAAAGTAAACATGGTTTCACTAAAGAAGTTGTGAGTATACTGCTTTTTCCCAGTTAAAATATTTGAGTGCTGTCTACCTGAAGGAGTTGGCTTTGGTTTCACAAGAGCCAGGGTCAGACCTGTAGGTGTCCACTCCTTCTATTCTGGTAGCCCTGCAGCTGGTTATTTTGACATCTTTCTTTTGGTTCTTCCTTTCAACTGCCTTTTCACTTACTTATTATTAAACTCTTCACTTTTTTTCACTTTTATTAAACTCTTCACTTCCTTTCAACTGCCTTTTCACTTACTTATTATTAAACTCTCATCAGAAAGAACATGAGTTAACCTGTTTCTGAGAGCTTATATATAATTAATAGGTTTATATATTGTCATATAAAGCTAGAGTATTTTTTCAGGTATACATTGTCAGAAGTAAATGGTAGTGAAGTGTATTTATGTTTTGCATCATCATTTCCATGATGTTCTCAAGAATGGGCCTTTTTTGGTCAGAAATGTGCCCAGAATATTCCAAGTGTGACTTGTGTATTCAGTCAGTGACAGGTAGGCTGCTTGAGAAGAAGGAACCATTTTCTAGAGACATTAGAATAAGAAAATGTTATTATAGGAAAAGACATTCTGTTTTCGCTATTAAGAAAAAAATGCAGATATGACTGAAATGATTTGCATTAAGCTATCCACTGCTCCTTATCATCACAGAAGCATTTTATAAAATAAATTGAACTCCTAAGTATCTAGCTAGTATAAATGCCAGTAATAATTTTTTTTCAAAACACAATTTTTCTAAATAAATGGTTTGTTGAAAATACAATAACTCGATAACCCTGATACCTCTAAAAATTCTGTTTTTCCTCCTTCTGTTTACTTTATAGAGGATGGAAAACTCTTTATGTGGGGTGACAATTCTGAAGGACAAATTGGCTTACAAGATTTGACTAATGTGTGTATTCCTCATCAAGTGACCATTGGGAAACCTATCTCATGGATCTCTTGTGGCTATTATCATTCTGCCTTTGTAACAAGTAAGATAGAACATTTTGGTTTCACTGTGTTAGATACTGTTGCTAAGTTATTAACTGAATTGATAATAAAATGATGTAATACTCATTTCCATAGAAATAATATCAGAGTACCACGTAATGAAATAATTTTAATTCTAGGTCACAGTATATCTCCATTTCAGTAGAGATAATTTCAAACTCTTTCTAACAAGTTTTAACTTTTTAAGTAAATATTAGATCAATTCTAAAAACAAAATGTGTATCTTAGGAACCCTTTTTGAATTTTGGTTCTCATGCTTCTTGGATTTTGGTTTCAGAATTTTTGTCTCTGCATTTGGACGTATTCTACTTTTATCCTGAGAATTTGCTTTTATTGTTATAATAAATGAGTTCTAGGCTTTCATTGTAGGAACAAGAATGAAGACTAGCTGGAAAAGGCAGACAGTAAGTATGGTATATGATTTCCTTTGCTTGGACTTCTCTCAGCATTCACAGCATCTTCCTTTCCTGGACCCACTGTTAACCTCTTTTATCGTAGTTAAAATATTTGAAATGTTAGGTTGTATTATCGTCTGAATCTGCACTAGCAAAAACAGAAGTATGATTATGGATTTCTATCTTACTGATTTTCTTCTACTTTTTATCCTGAGAACTTATTTTTTATTGTTTCAATAAATGAGTTTTAGACTTTCATTGTAGGAACAAGGATGAAGACTAGATGGGAAAGGAAGACAGTGAGTATGGTATATGATTTCCTTTGGTTGGACTTTCCTCAGCATCCACAGCATCTCCCTTTTCTGCCCACTGCCATCCGGCTTGTGGATTCCTTAATTGATTTTTCTTCTAATATACCTAGAGGAAATAATTCTGTAGAACTTCTGTCTCATACATTTATTCCTTATTTAATGTACTACAGATTCTGGTTTAGAAAATACCAGTTGCATGCTACTAAGTGAAGAAAAATTCCAACTCAATACTGTTCACTCCTATACTCCCAATGTCTTAAACAAATTTATAACAAGTAATTGACAGATGAGGGAATGAATGAATGACAATTGTGTTCTTTGGTACAATACCTCCTACCAACTTCTTGGTTTATTTAGACCTCTGGTATTGATGTAGTCTGTACTCATTTGTCACAAAGCAAAAACACATGGAAAAACCCAAAACTTGTGATTAAAGGTATTGCTTTATCATATGGGTTTTAAAAAGACTGCCAGAGCTAGTTTTATAGCTAAACTGGCTAAATATAAAGCCAGTATGAGATCAAATGGGATTGCTCATCTTAAGCAACAGATTTTACATTGACATTCTTCTTTCATTTTAATACCTTTAAAAACAGCTTTATTGAGGCACAGCTCACATAAAATTCACCCATGTTATGGTGTGAGGAACAGCAGAAATGTGTAGGCAGAGGTAGGATGATACTCTTCTTGCCTTAGCCCATTTCATCTAGGATGTAAGAGGCAAGGGGGATGGAAGTTAGTGGCTTACTGAGCACCCTTTTTGTACCAATCAGGATTTGATAAATGTTTTATGTAAAACTGATTCAGAAAAGTTCTTTTTCTACACAGATCAATCTAGAAATTCAGTATATCTGTTTGCAGCATTGACCTAGTTTTAAGGGCTGTATAAGGTATGTGCGAGATCACATGACTTTCCATAAATTATGATTTGCTAGAACTCATGAGTATCAAGTAGTAGACTGTACTCATGATTGAGATTCATTATATATAGCAAAAGAGAAAAGGCAGCAGGAAAAAGGTGTATTATCCTGAGTTTCAGCATTGCCCTGATGGTCCTTTCTCTTTGAGGTCACAAAGGATATGCTTTCTCTCTGGTGCTTAGCTGCAGGGATGTATGTATGATGTTTTCCCAGGAAAAACCATTATTGTGTCAGGATCTGAGGCTGTCATGTAGCAGGTAATGGGGGTAGAACATCTAGGTACATCATGTCACCAGCTAGTCACAGCAGCTGTAAAGTCGATCCCTCAATAGTGATCCCCCTCCCCCATTTCTCCTTCTCTAAACTATACATTATCAGTGTTGCTGTATCTGCAAAACAATCCTAATAAACTAAGCTGGCATAACTCATCATTCCAGGTGTACATAAAATCAGTCACTAACATAAAGAAAAACTCTGAGGGCTATAGGCCCAGGGACTGGTCAGTAGTCATTCTTTAGTTTTCTCTTAACAGCATGCTATATTAACTCTTTGCTCACAACAGTGGTGATGAATGTTTTGTGTTATTCTTCAGCTATATTATATAGTTAAAAGGCTTTAAGAGTCCTGTTCTATAAAACTGTTCAGTTCACGGATTTTTTAAAAGTTCATTCAATATACACTTGGTCATAGCATAGTATAATAAATGCATTAAGTGTAGTAACAGCAAATCAATAGTGTTGGTATGGACAAGGCAGTGATTAAATTTCAGTTCCTTAAGATTTTTCTAGAGAAAGTATCATATAACTGAGTACAATATGCTGTCTGAAGACTCATTCAACATGTATACTTCACACAGAAATGAATCTTAAATAAGTTTCATCAAAAGAAATTAATCCTTTAACAGCTTTTAACAGCTATTCAATGCTTGATGTACTACAAAAGCTTTAGGCCATAGTGTGCAAAACTAAATACTGAAATGAGCCCAACTAAGTTCATGTCCTTATGTGTAGTCATTTTGTTTTATCACGGGAAAGTAGAAATATGAAGGTAGTCTTCTATCTTGTGAAAAAGCAAACATTATTTTTTAGTTTATTTGTTGTGATGATTATGAATGGCTTAAGAAGGTACTTGGATTAGAATAATTAAGGGGTGGAGCTAGAGATGTAATACAGCAGGTAGGGTGCTTGCCTTGCACACATCCACCCTGGGTTTGATCACTAGTACTACATATGGTCCCTGAAGCACACCCCAGGAGTGATCTTTGAGCTGAGAGCCAGGAGTAAACCAAGTACTGCTGGTTGTGCCCCCAAACAAACAAAATAATCATAATCAAGGGGAAAGAATAACTATATTTCTTTAAACTTACAGTACAGATACCTTGTGAAAAGCAAAGTTGTCATTTTCTACATTTTTACTGAATATGATTATGTATGCCAAGAAGATGATTTTTTTCCATATTTTTATTGTTACTGATCACTCTTCTTTCCCTTCAAAAGCTGAGGGAGAACTGTTCACATTTGGAGAAACTGACTCTGGGAAGTTAGGTCTTCCCAAGGAACTGCTGGACAATCACCGAACACCACAGCAGGTGTTTGGAATTTCTGAGAGGGTGATTCAAGTAGCTTGTGGTGGAGCACACACAGTGGTTCTCACAGGTATGTGTGAAGCAGAATGCAGCCTCTTTTTCCTGTATCCGAGGCAATTAGCATTCTGTGCATGATAATGAAAAATACTCTATTGTGTATATGGTAAGAAAACTTAACATCTTATCCACCCTCTTAGGAGATTTTTAAGGGTACAGTACAATATTGTTACATACGAACATGTCAGGTACAGTATGTCTCTGGACATTATCTTGCCTAGCTGAAACTTTATACCTGTTGATTAGTAGCTTCCCTATGCCACACTCTCAACCCCTGAAACCACCATTCTAATCTTTTTAAGGAATTTGACCCCTACACCAGCTTACTTAACCTTGCATCATTTTCCATTAAGATGTTTTAACCTTTTATTCTTGTTAAGTTCTTTTGACTTATAGAAGAAATTGTTTAGAAAAAAATTAATGATTCAGTTTTTCATCAACATTATCATTTTCATGATTTAATTTTCATTTTTTGTTTATTTTTCTGTTTTTATTTAGGCACCGTGATTTATAATACAATTAATAATAGTTTCAGGCATCCAGTGTTCCAACTCCAAAACCACTACAAGTGTCAGCATCTCTCCATCAATATCCAAAGTTCTCCCCATCCCTACCTTGCCTCCTTAGCAAATTCACTTTTAAAAAGTCAACATTAGTGTTGACTTTTACAGTTTTTCTGCACATAGTTGCCTGCCTCTACACTATCAAAGGGTCTAAGACACCTCTTATGTTACCTCCAGTCCACCGCATAATTCCTGTCCCTCATTGCTTCACTCCCCACGTTCTTGGCATTCTAATTTCTGTAATCCAAGGCCACGAACAGTCTGCTCTTAGCAAACTATTATACTGGAACTTGAGTCATTGTAAGTGTAATCTTGTATGTCATTTCATAGCAGTTACCAAAAGACAAGGACAGCTAAGTTCTAGGTTGGGGTGCATAATGCAACCTGGTTAGTTCTCAGGGAAAATAAGAAATTATCTAAATATTTCTAGCTTGTGTTTGAACAAACAATATTTCTACAGGCCAGCAAATTACTAATTGTGAAATTCAGTAAAGTTAGGGTAACATTAACCTGAAGCTAACTATAAAACCTGTTTTCCTAGTAATGTATTATTTATTAACATTGGTTTACACTGTTAAGTATTACAAAGATAATATGTAATATTCTTAGATAAAAGAAAAGCTATTTGTCATTCCTAATCAATCCAAGTATCTAAAACTAATAGAATAAGGAACAAAACTTTTGTAAAATGATTCAAACTGATTTTATGACCTAATTTCCCAGGCTACTATGTAGTCCAAGAAATGTTGGGTATTTGTAGAGATAGATACTTAATTTAATTTATTCAACATGATATTATCAGGGTAAATATTTGAACTAGAAATATGCTATGATTATTAAAATAGAGATGGAATTTTTAAACTAAAATTAAGGTCTCTTTTTGTCATTACCTGAATGTGTCTTCAAATACATGGCATAGAATATTTTAAGTAGTAATATCAGTATATTTTATTTATAAAGTAAGCATTCTTATTCAGCAAAAATATATAAAGTTATATGGCAATAAATAGTTCATATGTTCATCAGTATCCTCCATTGTCAGAATAAGATGAGTTATTAGAAAGTACTTCGAGAAAACTATTTATTATATTATGTTTTAAAAGCCCTGTTATGATTTTAGATCCCCCTAAATGTTTTTCGCATTTGATTTTCACAGCTGCTCCATCAAATAGAGATTATTACATAACATAGGGATTACTATATCAGAGAATTTAAGTAATTTGCTAGTTGTAGCAGCTTATAATAACAAAGATTTGAGTTTGGGTTTTCTACTTGAATCCAAGACTCTTGTTCTTCCTCCCATAGCAAGAGAATCATTGTATTAAACTAAGACTTAACATAACAAAAAATATTCTTCCTAGTAGCTAGCAAGAATTGTCTCTGAAATAAAGACACTTTCTTATTATCTTGCTTTTGTATTGATCCTTATTTTTTGTTTTTCCATTTTTCGGAAGTTTGACTTAATATTTACTATATTATTGAAGAGCCTTTGGAATTGCTTAAAATATTAAGGCATAGGAAAGCTTTCTGCACTCCTTTAATTTACACTTGCTAGTAAAGGAGCTTTTACCTGTGAATAAATCTAGCACATATAAATTCTCTGATGTCATTTTATAATGTAAGTTATTCTTTTAAACTTCCTTTTTAAAGTAAGGCATTTTCCTGTAGGGAATTTAATTTTTAAATTGATTTAAGACAATAGTAGAGAATTCAATGACAAGGGAAGCTTTTTATAGATATGAGGGGTAACTGTAGGGATATTTTAAGTAGTTCACCAACTTATATTTCTGAACTTTTATTGGGGGGGGGGCTGGAGTGATAGCACAACAGGTAGGGCGTTTGCCTTGCACGTAGCTGACCTGGCCAACCCAGGTTCGATTCCTCTGCCCCTGTCAGAGAGCCTGGAAAGCTACCGAGAGTATCTCGCCTGCACGGCAAAGCCTGGCAAGCTCCCTGTGACATATCCGATATGCCAAACACAGTAACAACAAGTCTCACAATGGAGACGTTTCTGGTGCCCACTCGAGAAAATAGATGAACAATGGGAGGACAGTGACAGTGACTTTTACGGGCTATGTAAAAGATGATGTCAGGTCCATGCCATAATTTTTAAAAAAATTTTTATTAGTGAAACACCATGAGGTACAGTTGTAGACTTAGAAATTTTTGTGCTTGGGTTTCAATTATACAATGATTGAATACCCATCCCTCCACCAGTGCCCATTCTCCACCGCCACTAATCCCAGTATCCCTCCCACCCCCCATCTCCCATTCCCCCTGCCTCTGTGGCAGGGCACTCCTTTTTGTTCTCTCCTTTTGGGTGCTGTGGTTTGCAAAAGAGGCATTGAGTTGCAATCATGTTCAGTCTACAGTCTACTTTCAGCATGCATCTCCCATCTTGGGCGGATCTTCCCAACACCCTTTATTTGGTGCTCCCTTCTCTATCTGAGCTATCTTTACCCCTAGAGTGTGCGGCTGGCCTCCAAGCTATGGAGTAAACCTCCTGGTATTTATCTTGGCATGCCATAATTTTTACAATGGTATTCTTTGTCATTTTTCTTTTCCTTCATCATTGAGAAATGTCTTCTTAGCTGTTAGATTTTTATATGTTTTTTTTTCTGCCAGAGACATTTAACTTTATTTTAAATAAGTTTTGTTATCACAGTTTTTATAGATGTAATGGTGACAGTGTCTTATGTCCTGAAATCCTTTTCTTATATTTTTCTCCTCCTTTCAGAGAAATCTGTGTATGCCTTTGGACTGGGACAGTTTGGTCAGCTGGGTCTTGGCACTTTTCTATTTGAAACTTCAGAACCCAAAGCCATTGAGAATATTAAGGACCAGAAAATATGCTCTATTTCCTGTGGAGAAAATCACACAGCTCTAGTAACAGGTGTGTATCAGAATTTCTTTTGTGCATTTATAGAATTGTGTGTCTTTTATTCAAAATATATTTATGTGAAAGGAAGGTAAATATAAGCAAAGAAATTAATGACAGAAAATGTGCCAAACTTCAAAGTATTTAGCTCTCATTTTTAATATTTTCATTTCATTTTAAATCCATCTATATAAAATATTTAGAACCTCAAGCTATATCAGTGTTGTCAGAGGTATTGTACTTTACTCAGTTTCATACTTGAGCAGAAAGTTGGGATCTTTTTGCACTTGTATCAGTTTAAGGGCTTTAACTCTGCTGAGGCTTGGGGAAGATCTTGCAAAGAAGGACTTATTTCTAAAAATACAACAGCACCACAATATAAGGAGACCGGAGAGACAGTACAGTGGGTAGGGTGCTTGTCTTGCGTGCAGCTGACCCGAGTTTGATCTCCGACATCCCATGTGGTCCTCTGAGCCTGCCAGGAGTTATTCCTGAGTATAGAACTAGGAGTAAGCCCTGAGCATTGCTGGGTGTGGCATAAAAACACAAAACAAACAAAAAAGCTTATTTTCAGTCTCCTTGTTTTAGCAGATTCAGGCTGAGAAAATTCTTATACTTTTGCCCACCAGGAGGCGTCTTTCCTCCTCTCTTCCCAGTGATAGAGAAAAGGAAAAAAAAAAAAACTCCAAAAACCACTAAGTAAATACTTGGCTCTCCACACCTGCTCTCTTGTTTCTGCCTCCCTTAGGGATATGTTACTTTGGGTCTGCTCCTCAACCTCAGAAACGAGGTGCTTCTAATGTAGGGTTCAGTGAAGAATCTCCCCTCAAATAACTGATTGTCTTGCCTGTAATCTATCTGCTCCACAATTTTAATTGCTTTGGAAGCACAAGTTTCCATACTTTCACTGTTTCTAGCTCATGTTTATGTTATAATATGAAGTAAAGCATTAAAATATCATTAAACTATATAGTATTTAAAATTTATATACTGTTTTTTCTACATTTCCCCCACCTTAAAATATATCTACTGCCACACTATAGGTCATCTAATGATATCTGATTAGAGGAACTGGGGATCATTAAATATAAAATATAATATCCTTTCTCCTCCCCCCCAAAGAACTTTTCAAAAAGAGACACTTGCCCATTTTCAAGTGTAAGTATTCTTGTTAAAGTAGTGTGAAATAAAACATATGAAATATGAAGAATCGTTTCTTCCTTCAAAGGCCCAGAAGAGTTGTTAATGTGTATCCTGTACTGAGGGATCTTGATCTCAGTTTTACTCCCTTTTGCTGCCACTTTTTCCAGTCTAAATTGCTAATGATGGTAAACGAACCTTTAAAATCTGATGTGTAAATAGATTTGGCTAAACTTATTCAGAGTACCTTTCTAATGGATTCCTCCTCTGTGATGCAGAGTTCAAGGGAACTTCAGTGCAAGGGGCCAAAGGGACTCTTTGGTACATTTCAGCCCTTAATAGCTGATGAACGAAGTTCTAGCATACATTGGACTTAGAGTTAGAGTTTTTGCCTTTTTGGCCAAGAATCAACCTCAGGACAGGTGTTATGAATCGTTTTGCTCTCAAACTAAAGAAAGATATGTAGTGAGTTATCTAAATTCTTGACAGTTCCTCATTATAAACAGTGGCTCATTATTAAAACTTCTCTGATACAGGAAGTGAAACTAGGTGGTTAGAATTAATGTTTTTTTTCTGGCAAAAGATAATTAAGTTAAATAGAAATTCTTAAAAACTCGGGGGCAGAGAGCTGACTCAAAGGGCTGGAGCACATGCTTAATATGCAAGAGTCCTGGGTTCAGTGCCTACTCCTACTTCCTAACTCTGGAGTACCATCCATTGTAGTCCAGTAGCTGGAGTACCATCAAGTTTGCCCTCAAAACATTTTATATAAAGAAATCAAGGTCAGAAGCAGGAAGATGAGGAGATAAGGATAAATGTATATAAAGAAAGAAATACTTGATGGTAAGAATTTTAAGACTGAATTTAGACTCTAAACACTGGCTCATCACTTACTTATAAAAGGGAATCTCTTTTTGAACTCGCCACCTTCCTGAATTGTTATGTCTAGTATGTTCAGTCAGGCCTCTTGGATTTTCTAATGTTATATGTGGTAGCTCAAACTATAGAGTATCAATGGGTTATGGTAAATTCAATGCCAAATTTTGTGGAAATGACAGTTGCAATGTAAATGCCTATTCGCCTATTTACAAATTGACCCATACAAGTAATACTTTTATCATTTTTTTTCTCTAAATTTTAGATGTTGGTCTTATGTATACTTTTGGAGATGGTCGACATGGAAAATTAGGACTTGGAATGGAGAATTTTACCAATCAGTTCAATCCCACTCTGTGCTCTAACTTTTTCAGATTTGTAGTTCAACTGGTAAGGACTTCTCTTCCCTTTCGTACATTTTCCTGTTCCTGCATTTTAGTCCTTTAGAATTTCATCCAAAATAAGTTCTTGTATATTTGTATGGAAAACTATCATGGATATGTCTAATAAATGTACTTATTTACTAAAAGCCATATGTTAGGCATCATGCTTCTGAAGATCTACTGCTTTTCTAATTTTTCTTCTTCAGTATCTTCTTGCCCCAACCTTGACTCTCCTTCATTCTCATATTTCCCTTGAGAGCCAGGACTGTGACCTGTCAGGGAACTTGGCGCCTCCAGTAATATCCAGTAGAGTTGCCTTGCCCACACTAATCATCTGAATATTTGCTGATTAGCTATTACCTATTTTCCTAAATACTGTGCAAGAGAAAATCTACTACTAAACACAGAATTTTGAAGATGTTTTATTGGCCAAATGTTATTAGAATAAGAAGGCATTGTTTCAGTGCCTTCATCGAACTGCCATTGTTTGTAATGTTTCTTTTCCCAGTTAGCAAGTTAAAAGTTCTGCTTATGTGGTGATGATAATATCATTTGAAATTTGTTCTCTAATGACTCAGTGCCTTATGGAATGAAAAACTTGGATTTGGCATCTTTTTAGTGAATGCCCACTCTCTATAAAATATTGACTCTGCATCAAAAATACAAAATGTACAAAGTAGCCAAATCCTCATTCACAAAAGTTGATTGTCTCATAAAGAAGGTTATTTTTAAAAGTGATAAAAGATATGCACTATTAGCTGAAAATATTGTGACAGAAAGGTTCAGAGTATGCTAATGCTATGCCAAATTGTAGAACTTGGAGAAAGTTACTAAAAATCTGTATTGTAAATATTAAACTTTTTTAACATTTTTACTGAAAATATATTTCAAAATTCACTGAAGATTAACTTCATATTTCCTTCATTGTGTATTTTTATATTTTGCTATAAGAATTCTTCAGCATTAAACTTAAAAATATATTCATGCAGCCTGTAGACATAATTATTCTAGGAGACTTATTTATTCATGAGTCACTTTTTTTCCAAGTAGAATTTCACAGTATTTTTTTCAAGTTTTTAATGTTACACACAGATTCAGATATTTTCTAAATTGCAAGAAATGTAATGTGCTAGTTTTTCTCTGTACAGAATTAAATTGAAGGCAGAATGACATAATAATATACGTGTAGATAGCATATAGGAAATTAGGAAGTTTACCACTAAGTGTGTACTCTGTAGCTGAAAATTGTTATTAATAATTGTATTTGAAATCAGTGTTGATTAATTTATCTGTGGATTTATATTGCAGGTTGCATGCGGTGGATGTCACATGCTAGTTTTTGCCTATCCACGCGTTGGAATGGCAGAAGAAATTGACTTTGATAAATTGGATGATTCTTTCAGATCTGCAGCAGCTGCCAGTGATCTGATCCCAGGTGGTACACTGCAGAGAACTTTATCAGCACGTTTACGTCGAAGAGAGAGGGTATGTGTAGCTTTTCTCTATAATAGTATTGTCTAACACTGCAGACAAAACTAGAATTTTAAAAACCCACTTTTAAGATTTTTGTGTTTTTATTGATTTACCATTGGTTTTCAGTGTTAAAGAATTTCAAGGGTTTAGCTTCCTTCACACCTCTATATGTGTATAAAAATACCAGTCCTGCCACCAAAGTTCCACTGCCATACCAAAAAGATTTTCTTTCCTTCTGCCCCACTCTCCCTTCCCTTTAGTAACCAGAATTTTCGCTGTGTCCAGGAGTTACCTTTGTTGTTGCTGTTTTTTAACTGTTTTGTTTGCTTTAGTGGTTCATACTCCAGATGAGTGGTGCCATCCAGTAACTGTCCTCAATGTCTTATTTCACATGCATTTTCTTTTTCAATTAAAGTACATTGTCCTCAGGCATATACACTAAATAAAATGATTAGAATTGAGAACTTAAAAGCTTTTTAAATAGAGTTAACTGTCAAGCACAAAAATGAGAAAATTCAAACTATTGCATATAATTTTTGCTTATCAGCAGTGATATTTCTCTATCTTATCATCTCAAACTGAGAACTAAATTGTCTTCTTAACTGTATGTAGATTGACTTCTGCTCTTTGACTTATAATTTATGAGGTTATGCATTATAATAAAATTTTTAAAAATTAAGGATTTCTATTTTGGAGAGAAAAAATTTCCTTTTCAGTAAAATTTACTGATTGTCATCTTGTATTTTAAAATTCTTTCTTTCAAAAAATTATTTTGGGGCTGGAGTGATAGTACAGCAGGTAAGCATGCCTTGCATGCTGCCGACCGAATTCAGTCCCTTGCATCTCATATGGTCCCCTGAGCACTACCATGAGTGATTCCTGAGTGCAGAGCCAGGAGTAACCCCTAAGCATTGCCGGGTGGGACACAAAACAAAACAAAACAAAATTACTATTATTTTTTATTTAGGTACCATCATTTACAAAATTAGAATAGTTGCGTTTCAGTTATACAGTTTTATCACTGATGGCACCTTCTGTCCACAAGCCCTCGTTTTTCCTTCTTTCTCCCACCCTACCTCCCTGCAAGGCATATTTTTAAATTTTGGTTATTGTAGTTTGGATCTCCTGCTTTCAGTTTCGTTGGTTCTGTGGGTCAGATATATAGTTACATAACACCTCTTTGCCATCAGGGTGTCTGGGGCACCTTTCCGCTGCCCCTGTTACCCTCCAGGACAGGTGAATGCTGGGCATCAAAGGGGGAATACTTAGATTACACTGGAGCCTGAACTAAACCACCAGGGTAGGGAGGAAAGAAAACAAACTGAAGGAGGGAAAGCAAGAAGAGATGGAGGGTAAACTTATTTCAATGATACTTCTATTTATTTTTAATAGGGACTATTTCTGGCAGTGTTTAGAGGCCATCAGGCTCACACTGTTGGTAGGGGAAGAAGTAGGGTAGGAGGGGAATATGGTATCAGCTTTCAAACCCAGGACCTCACACATGTTAGACATGTTCCTCTTGATATTTACCTCTGACTCACATTTAAATTATTTTTAAAAAATAAAATGCCAATTTTTAAGAAATTTCTTTTTAAAAAATACTTTTAAGTTTAAACTGTACACCTTCTGATATAAAAAATAATAAATTTTACTTCGTTATGGAAAATTGTATATGGAAACATTGAGAAATAATTTCTGTTTTTCAAGGAAGGCAAAGAAAACACACACATAAACACACACACAGATACACATACATTTTTCCCTATCATGTGAAGAGGCTTCCAAATTGACAATTTATAACAACTTAGACATAAAGACAACAGAAGAAAACTTTTTTTGAGGGAGGCACCTTCAGAACAGTGTGCAGGGTGCCCTAGGACCCTACCCAGTGTCAGTCAGACAACCAGACTGGATAAAGCCATGGCCCAGCAATGCAGTATTGTTCGATCCCAGCATTTCTGGGTACATCCAGTTATGTTTGGGCAACCATATTGTACTAGGGATTGAACTAAGGTCCTTGCACATGCACGGCATACCCCACTGGCCCCAGGCCAACACAAAGGAGCCTTTGGAAAGTATTTGAAAATGAATATTGTAGAACACTGGAAGATTTTTTTCCTTAGATATTTTTAGCAACCACAGGGTAGTTTCTGTCAATATTAAATATATAATGTTCATCTAACCTTTTATCTTAATTTATTTTTGAAGGAAAGATCCCCAGATTTTGTGCAGACGACACAAGTGCTCACCTTGCAGGAAGATAATTTATCATCACACATATGTTTTCCAAATGATCCAGAATCTTCCGATATACCTCCAAGTACTCTGCAAGACAAAATTATAACTGACACAGAGGACCCCATGAAACTTGAGGAACTGGGTAACATTCTGTGTTCTTCCTGATATCAGGAGTCATACCTTTCATCCCTAGTATTTTCATATTTACTATGAAAATATGATTTTTTCTCAATTTAAAAAGTTTTCTTCCTAATAAAAGCAGGTAGTCTCTCATTTGATCTCAAATGAAGGTTTTTTATTGAAAATAAAGTCATTAGTTATTCTAAAAATCCCACACGGCAACAGCAGTATATCTTTATGGAGCAATGTACTACATTAGCATACTTCTTATAATCTTTTATACTTATCTATCTCCTTGAAACCCTGAGGCAACTTAATGAAACAGGTAGGAGTTTCAACAGGTACAAATATTTTTTGTAGATGAAAAGAAGCAAGGCATGGTTGTGAATGGGAGTTTTTCAAGTTTCTTCTGTTCCATAATTTACCTATAGAAAAGCCATAGACTTATGTGTATTGAATTTGTATCCTATCACTCTATTGTATAAGTCTATTGTTCCTAGAAGCTTTTTGTGCAGTATTTAGGGTTTTCTAGCTATGCATCATGTCTTCTGCAAATAGCGAGAATTTGACTTCTTTTCAGATCTGGATGCCCTGAATATTGCTTTCTTGCCCAATTGCTCTCTCAAGGCCTTCCAATACTATATTGAAACGTATTGGTGAGAAACGACAATCTTGTCTTGGCCTCTTGTGCTTGATCTTAGAGGGAATGCTTTTGGTTTTTCACCTTTGAGAATAATGTTGCCTGTGGGCTTGTGTTTAATAACTTTATATTTAGAAAAATTTGTTTAATCCCATTTTATTGAGCATTTTGTCATACATGGGTGTTACGTCTTGTCAAATTCTTTCTCTATATCTAGCACAGTGGGTAGGGTGTTTGCCTTACAAGCGGCCAACATGACTGACCCGAGTTTGATTCCTCCGCCCCTCTCGGAGAGCCCGGCAAGCTACTGAGAGTATCTCGCCCGCACGGCAAAGCCTGGCAAGCTCCCTGTGACGTATTCGATATGCCGAACACAGTAACAACAAAGTCTCACAATGGAGACGTTACTGGGCCCGCTCGAGCAAATCGATGAACAACGGGAGGACAGTGACAGTGACATCTATTATTATTTTCATTTTTCCTTGTGTTGATATGGTTAGTACATTTATTAGCTGCATATGTTAAACCTTCCTGGTATCCCTGAGATGAATCCTACTTGGTCACGGTAGAAGGATCTAGAGAGTATCGTGCTGAGTGAAGTGAGTCAGAAGGAGAGGAAGAAACACAATCTCTCATATGGGCGATATAAAGAAACATGGTTGGGGAATAACAAATGCACAGAGGAAACAGAAACTGAGATTTAAATTTATAGCATGAAGCTACCACAGGGGAGAAAGGCAGGGGTTGGAGTGGGCACTGGGATGATCGTGGTGGTAAATGGACACTTTGGTGGAAGTTGTGGTGCTGGGAGTTTTATGTATGAAACCATACCAAACAATTTTGGAAACCACAGCGCTAAAAATAATTTTTTTTTGCTTTTTGGGTCATACCCGGCGATGCACAGGGATTACTCCTGGCTCATGCACTCAGGAATTACTCCTGGCAGGGATGCTGGGAATCGAACGCGGTTCGATCGCATATAAGGCAAATGCCCTACTCTCTGTACTATCACTCTAGCCCCTAAAAATAAATTTGTTAAAAAATAATTTAAAAATCTGGGAAAAAAGAAGCATAGCTGGAAGAGATAGTGTGACTTGCCTAGAGCCAATCAGCTTATAAATGAACAGGATTTGAATGTGGATCATCTCGGGTCTATGTGAAATTTTGCTTTTATGTGGTAAAGTGTAATAGCTAAGAGCATGGAGTATGGAGTTAACTGATCCAGTGCCAGATGTCATCTCTGACATTCATTAATTATTATGTGCCTAACCTCAGGAACGCACATGGACATGTGCTTGGAAATGACACCATTTCCTAAACCTCAGTTCTGTTAACTTTGAAATGAGTTTATTTTAATAATACCTGCTTTAGAGAGTGACTGTGACAGGTGAATCAGACCAGGCATATCAAATACTTAACATTGAATCTGGCATCTCTAGAAGCCCCATAATATAATTATTTTTGTTAACTCTATCTTTCCATACATTAAATATAGAATTTATGTTTTAAATTATAAATCCAACTCTTAGCTATTAAAATCTCTTCTAGATAAAATTTGTTTACAGACATTGCATACCTTGGTATCTTGGAGATACACACTTGGTATCTTGGAGATACACCCTGCAGTATGTGTATATATATACATATGTGTATATATACACATATATATGTTGATGTATGCTACTGTAGGGTGTGTACTAGGGTGACGCGCAGGACAAAATCAGAACCAGGAGATAAGATTAAGCAGTACATGGGGCTGAAATGATAATACAGGGGATTGGGTGCTTGCCTTGTATGTAGCCAACTTGGGTTCCATCCCCAGCACCACATGTGATCCCCAACTCATCGGGATGATCCCCGAGTGCAGAGTCAAGAGTAAACCCTGAACACTGCCAAGTGTGGCCCCAAAACTGGTAAAAAGAAACAGTAAGCAGTGGGTTTAGAGTTAAGAAAATAACCTTAGCTTCAGATTAAGAACTCGAGTATGAATCATTTTTACTATCTTTGGAATCAAGATCCTAGTCAAAAGGTTGAAATAAGAGAGGCCAGGAAGATAGCTGAAAGGGGTGAAAGCATGCTTGTTATGCAGGAGTGCGGATTTGATTCCTAGCCCTTCATGGTCCCACTAGCACTGCCAGGAATGACCCCCAAGCACAGAGCAAGGAATAGTTTCTGAGTAACTCTACATCTGACTCAACCCCCAGTCCCCAAAGTTGAGGTAATGGAGGACCAGGAACTCAGGTAAGAATTATGGGCCCTGGTGATATAATAGTAACTAGAAACTTGATAAAGAGCCAGTTGTTTTTTTTAATTTATTTTAATTTTTATTAGTGAGACACCACGAGGTACAGTTGTAGACTTACATATTTTTGTGCTTGGGTTTCAATTATACAATGATTGAGTACCCATCCCTCCGCAGTGTCCGTTCTCCACCACCACTGATCCCAGTATCTCTCCCACCCCCCATCCCCCCATCCCACCCTGTCTCTGTGGCAGGGAACTCCCTGTTGTTCTCTCTCTCTCTCCTTTTGGGTGCTGTGGTTTGCAAAAGAGGCATTGAGTGGCAATCATGTTCGGTCTACAGTCTACTTTCAGCATGCATCTCCCATCCTGGGAGAATCCTCCCAACACCCTTTATTTGGTTAGAGCCAGTTTTCTATAACTAATCTTCAATGTTTGTATGTTTCCTTCATCATCACGGTCACGGTCCTCCCGTTATTCATTGATTTGCTCGAGCGGGCCCAGTAACATCTCCATCGTGAGATTTGTTGTTACTGTGTTTGGCATATTGAGTATGTCACGGGTAGCTTGCCAGGCTCTGCCGTGCTGGCGAGATACTCTCGGTAGCTTGCCGGGCTCTCCGAGAGGGGCCGAGGAATCGAACTCGGGTTGGCCATGTTGGCTGCGTGCAAGGCAAACACCCTACCCGCTGTGCTATTGCTCCAGCCCCTATGTTTCCTTTAGAGACAAAAATTGTTAGTATTGGGACTGGAGAGATAGTACAGAGGGTAGGACACTCGCCTTGCACATAGCTGATTCGGGTTTGATTCCCAGCACCTCATTCCCCAAGGCCTACCATGACTGGTTCCTGAACACAGAGCCAGGAGTAAGCCCTGTTTTTGTGCCTTCCCCCCGTCCAAAACAAGAATCATTGGTGCTTTCCAGGCATGTACTGGAATAATGGCTTTTTTGTGATATGCATGCAAGGAAAAGAGAAGTTTGTGAGTTAGGAGTTGTTTCAAGCTATGCATATGGAAGATATGCATAATACAGAAAGCAATGCATAACTTTGTATGAGATTAAGTAAAAGTAAAAGTCATCCTGTATCTTTGGCTTGCTGTTAAAGCTTTTTATAAATGTTTTAAAAGTTGTATCCAGCATATGTTACCTTGTTTTCTGAATTATTTCCAGATTTCAGTATTTATTATGGAAGGGGCATGGGGAGGGGAGACCTCGTGGAGAGATTGACATTTATGCTAAAATATAAAGTGTAAGAAAAAAGAGTCATGGAGAGAGGACATATGTATTTCAGGAAAATAATATAGCCAAAGGTTTGAAGGTAGTTTATAAGACAAGAAAGGGAAAACAGTGAGGCTAGACAATGAGGGAAATGGCAGAAAAGGATGATTTTGGACAGAGACAGTGAAAATTTACTTGTAGTTTATAAGCTTCAAGAAGCCTATTTGATTTGCATTGGTTAAATGCACTAATATTTACTCAAAGCTGTTTGTTTGTTTGTTTTTTTGGGCCACATTCAGCAATTCTCAGGGCTTACTCCTGGCTCTGCACTCAGGAGTTACTCCTGGTGGTACTCATGGGACAATAGGGATGTCAGGGATCGAATCCAGGTTACCCTGTGCAAGATACTGCCATACCTACTATACTCTCCAGCCCCTCATTTAAAGGTTTTGAAGCAGTTTTAAACATTGAAATAATTTGGAGTAAAAGTTATAGTTTAAGATGATCCCTTTTGCTTCTGTGTTGATTGTAGGTGGGTCAGACTCCAGGTAGGAAGACTTAAGGTACCTTTTGTAAGAAATGATTGTGTGTGGCCTAGGTGTTTGCAATGGAGATAGAAGGGAACAAAATTGAATTATATTTTAGACATAAAACAGCTGATGCAGAAGAGAGTTGTGGACTACAGGTATAAACTTGGAAACTGTCAATGTAGAACTGGCATTTAGAATTTGTGGAAATTGGCCATTGGTGGGAACTTCACTTCCTCCCCACATAAACTTCTCCTCTTTGTTCTTATAATATGGCTTTCCTCTGAGTAAATGGTGACAGACACAGAGATAGACAGAGATAGAAAAGCAGAAACAGGGGCTGGAGAAATAATACAGTGGGTATGGTGTTTGCCTTGTAGTGGCCTACCTGGGTTCAATCCCCAATATCCCATATGGTATATTGAGCCCACTAGCAGTGATCCCTAAGCACAGAGCCAGGAGTAAAGCCCTGAGCACCACCAAATGTGGTCCAGAAACAAAACAAAACAAAAACAAAACAACAAAAATGAAAAATAAACCAGAATGAAGATAGAAACAGAGCTAGAAAAACAGAGTCAGAGAGGCAGAGCCAAAGATGAGAGACAGAGAAAAGACAGTGGTAGGAGATCAAAGACAAAGAGATAGGAAGAGAGAGAGAGAAGTGAAAGAGAGTAACAATGAGACAGGTGAGAGATAGAGTGATAAAGCAGAAATTGAGATAGAGACAAAAACAAACAGGCAGAGTGACAGAGGAAGAGAGCAAGAGACAAAGATAAGAGAGATATAGGTGGACAAGCACTGCACTGTAGCACTGTCCTCCCGTTGTTCATCGATTTGCTTGAGTGAGCACCAGTAATGTCTCCATTGTGAGACTTGTTACTGTTTTGGGCATGTTGAATACACCATGGGGAGCTTGCCAGGCTCTGCCATGTGGGTGGGATACTCTTTTGAGTATCTCTTGTATCCCTTGTATCTCTTGAGAGCTTGCTGGGCTCTCCGAGAGGGATGGAGGAATCAAACCCGGGTTGGCCACATGCAAAGCAAACAGCCCTACCCGTTGTGCTATCTCTCCAGCCCAACTGTATACACAGCCAGGAATAATCTGAGTACTTGCAGGTATAACCTCAAAACCAAATCAATACAAAACAAAAGTATTTTAACTTGAAGGCCTGGTGCAATAGTAGCAGGAGTAAGGCAGCAACCTTTTAAGCTGCAAAATGGGTTCAGTCTTCAGCACCCCATGGCCTGTAAGCACGCACAGGAGTGATCCTTCAGCACAGAGACAGGAATATTGTGGGTGTGCCCCCCAAATAAAACCAAAACCAAAACCAGGACAAAAAATTTTTTAAAAAAAGGAACAGAGACTGAGAGATTCAAAAACAAGAGTGACAGAGAGGAAGAGAACAGAAAGACAGAGAGACAGTGATAGAAGTAGGCAGGTCCACAAAGACACAGATATAGAGTGACACAGAACTATAGAGTAGATGCAGAGACAGAGACAGGGACAAAGAAACAGACATAAACTGTAACAGCATCACAGTTGTGGCTGCTTAATTAATGATGAACCTGGTAAAATGTAGAAGGTAAACTACCCAAGGGTATGTATGCACTTCTGGAGGACATGGTTCTTTGGGGCCCTACTTGGGGATGGACGGTTACTGTGTGCTGTGCCTGGATAGTGCTTATCCCAAGGAATAGTGTTTGCCTTTTATAGGAACAGAACAGCTCTTCATCTTATCAGTGTAAAGTCTGTATCATTGTCCTCCCGTTGTTCATTGATTTGCTCGAGCGGGCCCAGTAACATTGTGAGACTTGTTACTGTGTTTGGCATATCGAATACGTCACGGGGAGCTTGCCAGGCTTTGCCGTGCGGGCGGGATACTCTCAGTAGCTTGCCGGGCTCTCTGAGAGGGGCGGAGGAATCAAACTCGGGTCGGCCAGGTTGGCTGCGTGCAAGGCAAACGCCCTACCTGCTGTGCTATCGCTCCAGCCCAGTGTAAAGTCTAAACTTCCAAAAAGATATTTTTGAAATCTCTCTCTGAATTGTCACTGTGAATGCATTATGTTCAAGTTGCTATTAATTGGAATCCCGATTTCCCTTTTGTCTTTTAAATCTTTCAGATGATGTGCAAGATCAAATGCCTATAGAAAATGAACCAGATGGTTCTGCTGCTGATTCCGAAAGCCTTGGAGAAACTAATGATATCTTAAATATGGTAATGGTTTCCTCATTTTAGCAGCTTGAATTTTAGTTCTTTGTGTGTTTGTGTGTAAATGACCCATATTCTTATATGCATAAGTTGGTTTTTGTTTTATTTTCTGTTTGTTTTGGCCACAATAGTGCTACTCGGGGCTTACTCCTAGCTTTGTACTAAAGGATCACTACTGGCAGTGCTTGGGAGACCATGTAGGGTACTGAGGATTGAACCCAGGTTGACCATGCCCTCACTTTATTTTTAAATCCACTTTATTTGTAAAATAGATTCCATATAATAGAAGTTATTTCGTGGGGCCAGGGAGAGAGTACAGCGGGTTTCTTTTGCTCTTCCCCCTTCCCCCCAAAGAAACAAAAACAAAAAGCTATTTTGATTCTCACATCATATGCAGTGGAGAATTAATCATATTGCTCTCTGAACTATTTTTTTATTAATTCTTTTTATATTTAGAGTATATAGTCTTTATCCCTAGAACATATATTTTTAATTTATTTCAGACACATATGATGAGCTTAAATTCTAATGACCAGGCATACAAGTTATCACCAATTCAGAAACAAAAGGTATGTTATGAACAGTTATTTTCATTATGGTGGGTAAGAACATTTTAAACTAATTTGTTTTCCTGAAAGTTTTCTGGAAAGAGCACAAGAAAGGTAAGAATACAAAAGAACATGTATAGCCTTCATTTGGGTTTATCCATTTGATATGTATTTTCTGTGATACAAGAATGACAGAATTTCATTGCTTCATTTTACTCTTTGGAGTCACTAACATCATAGACATACTTCTTAGCCTAAAGGTAAAATATGATTATTGTAGTCCTTATGGATGGAAAAGGGTACTGTTTAAGAATGAGTCTTAGAATCTGGTTTTATCAGACTTTGGGTGATTTTTTTTGACTGGTTAAATATGATTTCTAATGAGTTTTTGTTTTGGTCTTAGTGATAATCTTTCCTAGCTCTAAACTTTAGTGACTTGATAAAAGAAAATAATTGGTTACTCCCTTTTCAGTGTTTTATACATCAAGGAATTGAGAGCACAAAACCAATATTAAGTATTTTGAATTGAGTCTGAAGCTAGCAAGGGTGATAAATCCATACCTTCAAAGAATAAAAATACACAGCAGAAAGAAAGAATGGCCTGTAGCTTTCATAGCTCTGAAGAGAAAGGCTTTCCCCCAAATTCTTTGCTTTTCCTAACCTTAAGGACCACTGGGGTGGGGAAAGGATGGAGTATTTGGGAATTAGAAAAAGTAATTGGATAAATGTAAATTGAGAGAAATAGCAAGATTAAACATTTAATTTCCATTTTTTATTTTTGTCATCTTATAAAGCTAGAAATTCTGAAATTACAAGTCACTGAAGTGCAAGAGAATCTTGCTAAAGTATAAAAAGGTAGTGCCAATCCTCCTTAGTCTTACTTTTATTTTACTGAGTCATGGTGAATAAGAGCATCCTTTTGAATATGGGAGAGCTCTTCTAAGACAGCTATGGAAACTTAGTAAATGCTGAATGACTTAATGACTGGTTATATTTCCAAGCAAAATCTTTTTTCTCTTTTCTTCATTTACTCTTAGATTCTGGACTTTGTCCCTCTGGCCTGCTTATACTTTGCAAGGGAAATTAAGGCACATAATGTTAAAAATCAGTAATAACAATAGGTCCCTCTCTCCTAAAATTCTTGAAAGAATTGTGACTTTTTAAAGACTAGGACATACCAAAAAATAGGAAGGCACTTCCTTTTAAACTAATATATGTTTTTTTCTTTACATAGTCCTAAATAGATGCCTTACCAGGCGAACTCTTATGAATAAAAATATTTATATATTATTTTATCTATTAATTTTTGATCTATCTTTATAATTCCTTTCATGGAAAATGACCTCATCCTAGGTCGCACAATGATTTTATCACAGTAAAACTTCTTTGTGAGGTTTTACTACTTATAGACCCAAATTTGCCATTTTTTTAATCCATTAGCTTGTAGAACTTGTATGTGCCATACATAGTCTTATATGGTGATATCAGTTATCACCAAGTTCTCTCCAGATAAAACAAAATCTGAGTAAATTTCTATTAAAATTGGACATTTTTCATCCTCCTAGTGAAACATAAGTATTTTTATAGTAGAGAAGTTACTATTGTAAATTAATAGTAGTATGATTACTTCAACAAATTTGCAGAAACAAGAAACAGATGAGACACTGAATCAGCAAGGCGGTAATACTGAAAATGATGATAGTACTGAATATGAAAGTCAAGAGATGACCCCACCTATGAAAGAAGGGAACACATATAAACAACTTTTGGCAACAGGAGTATACAAGATGCCAGTATCTGCATCTGTGGAAGAAATTTCAGATGAGGAAGTAGGTGATGATGACCCAGACCAGTCCAAGGTGCAGTCTGAGACTAATGCAGAGGCTTTGGATAAAAATCCACTTACAGAAGCAATTCAGGATGACTATAATCCATGTGGTAGAGAGGAAGGAGCACAGGAAGGTGAAGAACACAGTGCTAAGTGTTCAGATACCGAAGAAACAGTCTTTGAGCAGGAAAGTGAGCAGATCCAGTTGCTAAGTCCTGTGAAGGAGCAGATAAGACAGAATGAAGAGAGTTTTGAAAGCATTGATGCATTTATTGATGACTTACCAAAGACAGACTTAAGTATCGAGGATGAAGAATCTAAAGACTATTCTTTAGAAGGTCAGTTGAGCAAGCAAGACATTGACAGTGAAGGGGAATCTCTAGAGGAGCCAGAGTGTCTCTTGAAAGGTGAAGTTGAAAGCCAGATGAGCACACTTGATGCCCTTGAGCAGCCCAAGTCAGTAGACTTTAGTAGTGTAGAGGAAAAGGATAATGAAGTGGAAACTAATGAAAACCTGTGGTCTAGCAGAGAATCTCCCGAGCAAGCCCAAGAAGAGCCTGAACCCACACTGTGCACATTCATGGCAAAATATAGTTTTCAGTCTGACCATTTATCAAAGATTCCAGAAGAGAAGGAGGGATCAGAGGATTCTGATGAAAGTGGAATAGATGAGCAAGAGATAGAGACAAATGACGATTTGGAGGACTCTGAAGAAAATGATGAGAAAACAGATAACTTGTCAGATGACCTTACAGAGAAAGCAGAGGTGAGTGAAAGTGAAGGAAAGTCAAGGGGAGAGACAGACACTATGCCTGAGAAAATCTGGAAGGAGGGTAATTCAGGAGTAGAACTGAGGCCAAGTAAGAAGGGAGAAGAAGAGAAAGACAGGGGAGGAGAAGGAGAGAGCTTGGGTAAAAGAGAGAAGGACCTAGAAAGGGAGAAAGAGTCAGAGCATATTGAAAAAACCCAAAACTGTCGAGAGGAAAGAAACAAAGGGATGGAGAAAGAGGAGGAAGGTGGAGAAGAGGGAGAAGTGGAAGAAGACAGAGAAGGGAAAGATGAAGGAGAGGAAGATGAGGAAGGGGAGGAGGAAATAGAAGAGGAAGAGGAAGAAGAGGGAGGAGAGTGGGAGGAAGAAGTAGAAGAGGAAGAGAGAGAGGGAGAGGAGGAAGAGGAGGAAGAAGAGGAAGAGGGAGAAGAGGAAGAGGAAGAAAAGACAGAGGAAGGAGAGGGGGAATATAAAGGAGAGGGGGACAAGGGAGAAGGGAAAGGAGAGGAGGGAGAAGGGAAAGAAGAGGGTGCAGGTGAGAAAGAAAGAGAGTGGGAAGAGGAGGGGAGCGGTGAGGAAGAGGTGGAAGACGAGGAGGTAGAGGTGGAAGGCGAGGAGGAAGAGATAGAAGGCGAGGAAGAGGTGGAAGGTGAGGAGGAAGAGGTGGAAGATGAGGAAGAAGAGGTAGAGAAGGAAGAGGAAGAAGAGAAAGAGGGAGAGGAAGAGGAATTGGAGGAGGAGGAAGAGGGAGAAGAAGGGGAATGGAAGGAGGAGAGGGAAGAGGAGGAGGAAGGGGAGGATAGAGAAGGAGAAGAGGAGGAACTACAGGTGGGAGGGGAGGAACAAGGAGAAAGTGATGGCCAGGAAAAGGCATGGGAGGAGAGGGAAGGGGAGGGAAGGGAAGAGGAAGAAAATGGGAGAGAAGAAGAAGGGGAAGAAGAGGACAATGAGGAAGAGGAAAGAAGATACGAGACAGGTGGTAAGGTGAGTGGAAGGCAGGGAAGACAGGGTGAAGGAAAAGATTTCCCCAAAGTGAGCAAAATCAAAGTCTCTGTAAAGTATGGCAAAGATAAAGCATATACAGAAAAACTTGCTAACACAAGGGGAAAAGGGAAAGACCATGAAGTACAGAGGTTCAAAATGCCAGTTCAGTCAAAACAGGTGTTACAAAGTAGGCCACCAGGTTCCAAAAAATTCTGGAATGATGTTTTACCGCATTATTTAGAACTGAAGTAGCAAACTTTAAATTTGTGATTGACCAAATTTCAGTCAATCAGTTTGGTGAAACTATTGTGTTTGATCAAATTGTTTGGTCACCTTACATGCAATAGACAGTACTTTATATCAGATTGATTTTATGTCATGATTATTTTATGTGCAGTTTAACGACTGATAAAAACAAGATGCTGGCAAATTTGGATCCTCTTAAACTTATACATTGGTATATTCCTTCCCCCCCCCAAATTATAAATCTGTGTCACTGTCACTTTCCTCCTGTATAAATCTATAACTGGAAAAATAACAGGGGCTTAAAGCATATAATCAATATTATATGCTTTAAATTCCTCATTAAAGACTGATTTAGAACATAGGGGCACTACTCTAAGAATTTGTTTGTGTATCAAAATCAGTCCCATTAAAAGTGGCACAGGTCCTTCCTTCAGGGCTGTTAAGCATCTAATCTTTCATATTAATATCTTTGTGTATTTTTCAGATTGTGTTTATAACTTGCCTACCGCATAAAATAAATTTTATCGTAGTGGATGGTATTCTACAGCAAAAAAAATGGGTGCAAGGGAGAGCTGGGTTCAGAGCTTAGATCCTAATAAGTTCTCTTTAATTGCTGTCTTGGCTATTGAGAGTATATCAGAGGTAATAGAGATTATAACTTAGACATATGTTTTATACAAAGTGTTAAGCATTTATGGTCTAGGCAGAAGTGACTCATTAAATCTTAGTTTCCTCACCTGTAAAGAGAATGCATTAGATCATCTCATAACTATAGCTTCTTCTAACTCTTAGGTGCTTTCATTTGAACAGAAGATTTACTCTGTCATGTCGTGCTTTTTATAATAAAATTTTTAAGGAAGAAAAATTGTACTTTAAGGTTAACCAGTTTTTCATAGAATATTGTTCTTTTCTTTTAAAGATAATTTTAATGTCTTTTGTCTTCTGTATTTCTAAACTATGACTTTCTACATACAACTGCACTGTCAAAACTTTCCTTGCCAGTATTTGTTATGTACTCTCTGTATTCATCCTTGGCTGTTCTAGAATTCTCTTTATTCTTGTCAAAATGTTTCAAGTAAATAAAAATTAAATATAAACTAAGTAATTGTGAAAAGAGATACTACTCAAGATACTGAATTTTTTGACAGATTAGATTTTCCATGTTACAATGCAACTAGTTTATTTTACTGTTGCTTATTTACAGCTCTCTTTTCAACTGATTTCCTTCCCTAGTTCTTTCCATACTTGAACATGAGGAATTTCTTAGATTTTCTTTCAAAAAGGAGGATTTGAATGGTAAACTTGTACATATGATTCAGTGGGAAATAATATAAAGACAAAGGCTAGAATATGAAGAAATTCCTAGGAGCAGCTATAAATTTTTAAATGCAAGATCTCTGATAGCTTCCCCTGATATCCAGATATGCTAATTTAGCATTGTGGAGTTTTACCACATTCTGTTAACATTCATTGAGTGTTAGTAGAAGGGAATGCTTGAATTAAAAAAAAAAACTATTAGAGCCAGAGTGTTAGTACAGCAAATAGGGAACTTTCCTTGCATGTAACCTTTCCATTTCAATCCCTGGTACCACATATGGTCCCCTGAGTCCCACCAGGAGTGACACCTGAGAACATAGCCAAAAGTAAGCCCTAAGCACAGCTGCATGTTTCAAAAATGTATAATAATTTTTAATGTTGATGCAAAAGTGTGGTTATTTCAAAAGTGGGCTTAGAAATTATTAAGATAGAAATGGAGTTTATAAAGAAAAACCCCCAGTGAGGTAAGAAGCTCTTAAATAGAAGTTATTATTGCTCACAGTTATCTGAACCCCATAATCAGCCTGTTACCCTAAAATCTTAAAATACACCCATTTTAGTATTTGAATAGGTGTAGATTGATCTTAGTATTTCCTGGGCCCATGAAATTTCTTTGTGCTGTTTTTAGATGTTGTAGTTCATGCAGGTATAGGAATCTGGTCAAGAGAGCAGCGGCTTGGGGACTGGAGCGATAGCATAGCAGGTCGGGCGTTTACTTGCACACAGCCGACCTGGGTTTGATTCCCAGCATCCCATATGGTCCCCTGAGCACCGCCAGGAGTAATTCCTGAGCGCAGAGTCAGAAGTAACCCCTGTGCATCGTCAGGTGTGACCCAGAAAGTAAAACAATAAATCATTGAATTAAGAATAAATAAAATTATTTTTAAAAAGAGCAGTGGCTTAATCACTTTAAAATTTGAATTAATTACTTGGTGAAGTAGTTACTTGGTTAAGTAGATTGAAATAACCAGTTCCCTCTTCACGATACCCATCTACTGAGAGACCAAGCTTTTACTGTAGCTTATCAGTGATCATTTCTTAGAAAAGTATGAGTTGTATATAGAATTTATTAAGTTCATTTCAAATGAATACTCTGGCAGAAAAATAAGGTAAGACACAAAGAAGCATCACAGAAACATCTACTGCTGCTAAACAGCTAGCTGCGTTTTCAAGGTGAGTGCAGTTGAAATGTTTCCTGTCATTTCACTTTAGAAGTACACTTGTCATACATACACATAAATTTTTAAAAATACAGTGGAGGGAAGTGCTGTAATTCTTTAGATTCATTTTCTCTTCATCTTCTCTTATTCTTTCCATTGTGATGATTAAATGTGAGATCATCTCAGCACTTAACACATGACTTTATATGTGATACATATTACCCATTCACCAAATTTACATACCAAGTACTTAAAAAGAACAGAAACTTCCCTCAAATCAGGTAGGTTCCAAAAAGTTGAGCCTGCTTACAGTCAACTGCCTCTGTCCCCCTTATCTCTTAAGGATTTTAGAGTAGTGGTAGATTTTATAAAGGGACACTAACTAAAAGAGTTTCTGTGACTCTGACATAATTATTTGTTTCCTAGTACCCCCATGTTCTTGGCTATGAGTGCCCAAATATAAAAAGAGTGTAGGAAAAATTTATAGGATCTATAAACAAATCTATGGCTTTTATCAATTAAAGTCCTTAATTATAAGAAGAAAATATTTTTGAATACTTTTTTATCACCTCTACACCTTGGTTACTCAGATGATAAGATATATCCTCTGATATCAAAGAATTCTGGCTATTCCTATGGACTACCTGAAAGTTTACCAGTGCCTTCAGGAGAGGCACTTCAGCTTCCATAGAGAAGGCTAGGAAAAGGCTGCCAAGTAGTCATGGTGAAAGGTGAACTGACAAGAAGTAAATCCTAACCAGGTGAGGCCTGGAGAGATTGCACAGCAGGTAAGGTGCTTGTCTTGCAGGAGCCAGCCCTGGTTCTATCCCCTGTACCCTATATGATCCCCCCATGCCCCACCAGGATTGATCCCTGAGCACAGAGCCAGGAGTAAGCACCAAGCACCACTGTGTGTAGCCCCTCCCTGAAAAACTATATATGACACCCAGGTGAAGGGTGAGAGAGCTAAATTTTCCAGGCTGATGGAAGCTGTGGGAATGTCTTGATTTGATTACAGCTTATTTGGTCTTAGATAGAGAAGCAAAGGACTGTTTGTTTCAGAAAGCTATGAAACAGATGATGAGAAATGAGAAACCAGGGCTGTAGCTCAGTGATAGAGCATGTGCTTTGAATGTGTGAGACCCCAGGTTTGAGTCTTGGTACCACACGCCAAAAGAGGAGTAAGATGGTCACATTTGTAACTCCCTTGTAGCATTGGAGGTGGTGGATTGAAAGGGAACTGATGCTGTTAGAGCTCCCGATTAGGCTTCTCAGGAGCTGCCCTTTATTCCACTTCCAGTCGTTTCTGATCCCACCAGTGTGACTATGATGCTCTAGGCCAAATTCTGGTGGAATGCCCTAGTTTTTGATGCTATGTAAGCACATTGTTAAGCAGATAAACCTCTGGGGGAAGGTTTAGTTTTTGAAGTTTCTTCTAAGAAATGTGGACTGCAGAGACAGTACTGGGTTAGGCACTTGCCTTGCATGTGGCCAACCCCAGTTTGTCTGTCCCATGCACCACATTTGGCCCTCTGGGCACAGTCAAGTTCTACAGATAAAAAAGGAAAGAAAGAGGGAGAGAAAGAAAAAAAGGCAAAACATTTCTCTGAATTAGACCAAAAGCTACAGCTCCCTTTACTAAGTCCGGAGAATGAAATAAAGGTCCTCTTAGGGGAGTTAGACCCATTCTTTGACTACACTCTACATTCCTCCCTCTCTATTACTTAACAACTTAAATGGTTCTACTGACAAGAATGTATTTCAACTTTACACTTTCTTTTTACAAAATAACAGTATTCTGCCAGTCTCTCCTAAATTGTTTCAGTTTGAAGGTAAGTGCTTTCTGTGATTTGAAGTAGTTATTTATATAGAGAGAGAGATTAATTTTAAATGTACTTAGTGCAGAGTGTTACAATTGGAATGTGATTTCTAGTGAAAATGTTATTTACCGTTCCAGTAGTTCTTCATTGTTATAGATTTTCTTAGTAAAGTGTTCATTATAGATATGTGTGTTTTGCTTATTTCTAAAATAAGATCAAGCTTCTTGTGCTTACTCCAACAAGAACATGGAGTTTTGCATATTTCTAAAATAAAGTCAAACTCCATGTTCTTATTTCATGTTCTTGTTCTCTAACAAGAACAGGTTCTTCTGTTAGAGAACAAGAACATGGACTGGTACCCTCTGGTTACATTAATATCCTAATTAGTTAGCAAAATTGGTGTTAGTCCATGTTTCTGTGAGCTGAACTTTCCAGGTATCAAAAACCAACAGAATATAACTTGATGACTCACCCCCATGCCCATTACCACCACCCACTCCCACCCACCCTTACACCCTGCCCAAGGAGGGTCTGAAACTGTGTATCAAGCACATTGTTCTTTTTAGTTAACCTTACATTAATGTACATTTTTAAATATGTATGTTTATCACCTCTACATCTTATTTTTTAAAATCATTCTTCCAATTCACTTCCAAAATATTGTTGGGTTTTGATCATTTTACATACTCATAATATGCATTTGGCTAGGCATAATAAATTATCTTAGTTGCTTAGAGAAGAAATCATTCATCTACCAAAAACTTTAGAAATTCTTTATAAGAATTTGGGGCTCTAGAGAGTTAGTAGAGCTCAGAGTCTGAATTAATCCCTGAGCATTGCCAGGTCTGACTCCAAAACAAAACATGGAAAAAAGAAGAAATTCTTGGTAAGTCGGGTTTTAACCTTGTGTTTAACCTTCCCCAATTTAAGCATCCCCACATCTTTTTGATATAAGCACCTAGTATCTTGCTTTCTGCTCTTGTGTCTTTTTTCTCTCACATGTACTGCCTTCAAATTACCTTTGATTAATGTACATCAAACCTTCCCAGAGTAACTTCTGTAATTCTTTTGGAATGTCATGGATTTGCTTATGAATTCCCTGTCCTCAGTGAATATATTGAGCTATACCTTTAGTGCTGCCATTCTGAGGATGTCACTAGTATCTGTCATGCAGGTATAAAATATAAATATATCCTCTCCCCAGTGTGAACTTTCAAGTTTTGTATTGTTGCCAAGAAAAAGTGAGCTATTCATTAGAAGTATTGCTTACAAACTACCCACTGAAGATTCTACTGGACATCAGACTTATTCTTAGCTAGTCAACAGGAAGATGATCAGTAGAAGCTAGTTAGTGTGTTGCAGGGCTGTGTTTATCATTAGGGTTCATATGGTCCTCTGTGGGTCCCCAGAATATTCCATAGGGGTTCACAGGCAAAAATCGCATAAATTTGAGATCAGGGCATGAGATTAGGGGATCAGCCAGTAGGGCAGCAGACCACAGGAAGGAGACAACAGAATGGGGATCATGGTCGGAAAAAGGTTGAGAAACACAGTTGTAGGGAATTAAAGGGGGATATACTTGCCTCATGCAAATACAGCCAGGGTCAACTTTGTAAAAGTATTATTCTAGGGTGTAAATGGAACTGAATACTACTGCCTTAGATTTTCAGGGCTATTAAACTTTAGTAGAGCTCATAAATAAGAAACATAGGGTAAAAATTCAATAAGGAACTTGATCTATTAATAACAAACATTAAGTAGTATTTTATCCCAAAATATGAAATTATAAAAATTAGTATACACTAAGGAGTAAAACACTTATATTCTACCCATTTTATTTAATAAGCATTACATAATTCACTTACAGTATCAAATTGTGGATGGGGTATTATATAATTTGGATTAGTTGACCAGTTACCAGGTAGACCAAGTTCTGCATCTGGCTTTGTCTGTTCTAGACAAATAAGAGCAGACACTTTATTTTATTAATTTAATTTTTATTAGTGAAACACCATGGGGTACAGTTGTAGACTTACAAACTTTCGTGCTTGGGTTTCAGTTATACAATGATCGAGTACCCACCCCTCCACCAGTGCCCATTCTCCACTACCAATGATCCCAGTAACCCGCCCGCCCCCTTAACCCACCCCCCCCAGCCCCGCCTCTGTGGTAGGGCATTCCCTTCTGAAGAGCAGACATTTTAAACTCTGTTTCTTTATATGTTTTCGTAATCATAATTAACTCTCGTGAATATCAGTAAATTGTACTTCTTCAATGATTGTAAATCCCTGTGCTTCGGAAAATAAACAGTTTATATATAGGATTATATTATAGTGCTATAGTAGATAGAAGCTTTTAAACGTCTCAACTTAAAAAGCATTCTTTTTAGAAAGCATATTTATTTTTTCCATTTTAATCTTGCAGTAGATGTTAGTAGAATTTTATAAATCCTAGCCATTAGAAATGTTGAAATGTCATATAATGCATAAAAACCTTGGTAATGTAGTAGCCCGATATTTGACAGGGATTTTATTTCATTGACTTCAGTTTTGAATTAATATGCCATATGTTTCTTTGAGGTGGGGTAAATGATGCAGCAATATCAATTTTATATATATTTTTAAAGGAAAACAACTTTTCTCTGTCACTTTAGTCACAGGATCCAGAAATTTCAGGAATTGATGAACCAGAAGATGTAGATGAGGACATGGATGAAGATTTGGCAGAGGATGAGAAATCTACTGATGATGATGAAAATCTTGCAACTGATGAGAGTAAACTAGAAAAAGAAACAAAAAGTACCAGTGACAGCTCAATTGACAACCAGGTATTAACCACCATTGGAAAAGTATGATATGAATTTAAATCCTAATAATCCTGCCTAAAAATGTGTGTGGGTTGCCAGGTACTTACAGAGGGCAGATTTGAACTTCTATGGGGAGAAGACATATTTCCATTAGTAAGTTTGTTCAAATGTAGTAAGAAAAGCTCTTACAAATGTGCATCACATAGACTTTGTCCCTAGTACTGTTTTCATACTTTTTGGTGTCAGTCTGTTTCCCTCATTGGCTCTTCTAGCACACAGCTGAGGAAATAACCAAGAAGTTCAGAACTGGGTTCTTGAAAAGATGAAATGAAAAGGTGGGTCAAAAACAGGATATTTGCATTCATATATTATTATTAATTATATGGACAAATAGAAGTTGTTACAGCAGTGTTTGAGACTGAGGAGTTCTGTACAGATGCAGTCTGGAAGAAAGTACAGATAGGAGGAATAGCAGAAAGTATCACTGAAGAAGAGAAAGTCATTCTGGAAGCAGATCTAGGGCTGCCAAAAATATGTCTTCCATTTGGCAGTTTTGCCTAAGTTTCATCTTGGTAAGAGACAGTTGGTAGGTTATAAGTCATTCATTTTTTAATATTACTCTAGATTAAAATCAGAATCATGGAATTTAGAAAGCCAAACTGAATGGCACTGTACTAATTCATTTTTATTTTCATTTTTTGTGGTGCCAATGGTAGAACTCAGCACTCACACATGTAAGACGTGTGCTCTGCCATTAAGCTACAAACTTGATCCTTAATGTTCATTTTTGAGGGCCTCCCACAGGAAATACTCAGGTGAAGACATGCCTTTTGGGGTCTAAGAAGGCTCTTGCCTTGCATATGGCTGACCCAGGTTCAGTCCATGTAATGTCCCTCAAGCTCTGCCAGGAGTGATCCCTGAAAACAGAACCAGGGGTAAGCCCTGAACACCATTGGGTGTGGCCCCCAAACTGAAAAAAAAAAAACAAAAAAGCATGCCTTTTTGCTGATGAAGCACTATCACCATTCATCATTCTAAAACTGTAGGTTATCTTTTTAAATTCAAACTCATTTTATTTATGCCCATATCATCTATTTCCCCTTTCCTTTCGGCCACTCAGTTGTACTTACATTCCTATTTAAATATGTACTTTAAAACATGTATTGTTTTGTGAACTTGTATTTTTAATTTGCAAGAAGTAATTGTGTTATAGTTCATTCTTTCCTTGTTTTATTTTTCTAAGACTCCTTCTCACTAAGCAGAAAAAAAATGTAGCTATTATTACTTTTTTCAGAGGAGAGGAAAGAATCTTATGGGAAATATTTATAAATTATTAGAAATGTAAAAAAATCCTTTAGCATGGAAATCATTAAAGTCCAATTTATGAAATGTTGAATTAAACCATATACTAACATTCTTGAGTAGAGTTCTTGAGCCACACAAGTTTTTAGTGATACAATTATAAGTTAGAAGGCATATTAGTAATTTCTCAGCATATAAGGACTCTGATTTTATAAGAGCCTAGCAAAGTGAGGTAATTGCCGCATGTTTTATTTTGTTAGCTAGAGGTCAACTCTGAAACCCTACTTAAAACTGATGCTAAGTTTTCTATTACAAGTATTTTATTATTTTATTTTGGGGACCACCAGAGCATATTCCTGGTTCTGTTCTCAGGGATCAATCCTGGAAGTGCTCAGGGGGCATTTTGGGGTGTCAGAAATTTAACTAGGCTTGGCCACATGTTGGGCAAGCACCCTACCCACTGTACTATCATTTTAGCCTTGCAACACAAATATTTTTATTAATTATGTCTTTGTAGGATGAAAAAAGCCAAGAAGAACGTGCCATTCGTGAACGTAATGAAAATAAAAAAGGTGTGAGCATATTTGATTTCAAAACTCATACGTTTAAAAGGGCTAGACACTCTTTTGCAAAGCATAGCACCCAAAAGGAGAGAGAGGACAAAAGGGAATGCCCTGCCACAAAGGCAGGGGGGCTGGGGGGGATGGGGGTGGGAGGGATACTGGGATCAGTGGTGGTAGAGAATGGGCACTGGTGGAGGGATGGGTACTCGATCATTGTAATAACTGAAACCCAGGCACAAAAATTTGTAAGTCTACAACTGTACCTCATGGTGTTTCACTAATAAAAATTTTTAAAAAATAATAAAATAAAAAGGGCTGGACAGATAATGTACAAACACAAATGTATGTATATATATATGTATATAAATTGTCACTGACTACTGCTTATATTTATACTTCCTATTTTATGCTTTCTACTGACACCTTTCTACAAGAACCTCTTAATAAGCTATCAAATATGTGACATAGGTTTATTCTCACTGATAAATACCACAGATTTTTTACATAAAAATACTTGGTTTACTCAGAGCTGCTTATATGTCAGTGTTATGTGGCTTAGGATAGCCCTGTACTAATTTTTTTTCCTATTCAAACAGTATTAAGTGAGTTTTTGCCCTAGATCTCAGTTTATATCTCTGGTAAGCACTGCCAGACTCCATTGCTAATGACCACTCTGGCCTAGTGTTAGAGTAGACCATCAAGTTAGTTCTCTGCCAGCCCAGACCTGAGTCTTTGGCCTTCCTGAGAAAATTTAAGAGAAGTCTTTTCCCAGGCTTAGTTACTGGTGTCAGAGAGCAAATGTTGCAGAACAGAGACAATGGATCTCCCTTGAAATGATCGTACACCTTCAACACCCAAATCTCCTCCATTTGTGCAGAATAAATCCTATATTATTTCCACACCATTAAATTGCAATGTACTTGATCTGAACTTAAACAGAAGAGGGAACAGTTTTCCTTAATCATCCCTTCTAGCTTCTACAGAAGGCCTAGTATCTTTTGGAATATTTTAAGCAAACATTTTGAATATGTTAATCATGTCATATCAAGTTATATCAGGTATTCTTAACAGAAAGCCTCAAAATATTAAAAAGAAATTAAATACAATATTTAACTTAACAGAATTCAATCAATATATATGCTTCATGATTGTATTATAAAAATGATGAATAATGTGTGGATTCCTGGTGACCCCAAGCATATCCAGTGCCAAGCATTGAACCATTCATTCTAGTGGGCTGAGAAAGCCCCTACAAAACCATATAGATGAAGTTGAAATGCAAAAATAACATGTCCATTTCAGTAGAAAGACGAATCATAATTAGGTTAATTTTAAATGGTAATTTATATTTTGCATAACTCTTCTGTAACATTTGCTTTTGCTATATTTGTTGTTGAATTTGGGTAGTGGTCATCTGAACATTTACATTATTCAAATTATTCTGGGCTTTTAACTCGGCTTTTCAGGAAATAGTTTAAAACTTGTACTTTACTCCAGTGGAGTAAACTCTTTCAGAATTTCCTTATAATGTGGGGATGATCCAGTTTCACCGACACGTTTCTAACAATTTTCTTTTTCTCATTAGAAAAAAGTATATTTAAATATTTCTCATTTGCTGTTATAGAAAACATACCTGATCGTGCAAAGAGCAGTTGTTCAGATACCATGGACAACAGTAAGGATTCAAAAAACTTAAAGAAGGTAAGTAAGTGCATTTTTCACTGTGTTAACGGTTAAGTACCAAATTGCTCCTTTTGTTTTTCATAGAGTATAGACATGATTTAACTCCTGTCACTTGAGATTTGTGGTCCTAAAATGTTATGAATTTTACACTTTTAACATGCTTATTTATTTAGATTCTTACTGAAATTTAAGTTGAGTGAGGCTGCTCTCAAATTTTAACAGTATGTTCCCTTAAATCCTTACTTACTCATTCTGTGATAAGTGATACACAAAAGAACTTTATTGCTAAACTTTGAATAATTATGAGTGTATAGAAGAGAGAGGATGAATAAAAAATCAAGATGGTTTTGCTTAGAAAACAGTACCACATGATACTTCAGTCTTTTCCAGCTAGTACTTATATTGTAAGGGTTACAAGTCTAAGGGATGTGTGTTCTCTCCTTGGAGTTAAGTTATCTTTCTTTTCACTTAAAGAACTTTCTTTGATCATGAGACCACACCACTGGATAGAAGAAGTTTTAGTAGGAAGTATAGAGGGAAAGAAAATTGAATGTTCTTGTTATTTCCTATTCAATCCTTAGTTCTTGGCTTAAATATCATTTTCACCTTTTGTGAACAGAAGCACTTATACAATTATTTTCTCACACAATACCTTTTTCTTACCCTTTTTAGTATCGCAGTTTGCAATTACTGCATTTTTGGTACATTTATTTGTTTGGACTACAGCTAGCAGTGTTCATGGTTTACTCCTTACTGGTAGGGCTCAGGGGACCAAATGTAGTACAGGGGATCAAACCCAGGTCAGCAGTGTACAAGGCAAGTGCCTTACCTACTGCAGCTGCCTACCCTTTGCCCCTTATTTGCTTTTAACAGTCTCTTTCCACTGGTCTTCAGCTCCATGGATTTCACAATTAGTATTGCTTTCCTGTGTATTAACATTTAGCACAGTTCCTGATACATGGTAAACAGTAAGTATATTGGTTGGTATTAACTGTGGCATATTGGAATAATAAAGGGTTAAGAACAAAGATAAAAGCAGGAACATTTTTAAAGTAGTAAACAGCCATACTTGACATCTTTTGAGGTATATGCTACACTGAAGTGGCTTTCAGGATTATTTCTGAAAATTTGAAAGTTGTTTTGGACCAGATTTTCATAATTTTATCTTTTACCAAAAGTGATATCATGACTATATATTTACCTTTATTAAAAATTATCTTATAGGATTGGGTTACACCCAAAGATTGTTGCAATATAACTCAAAGAATACTTTAGAGTTTGTTTCCTTCTTGGAATTTTTGGGAGGTTTTTTGGCCACACCCAGCTGTGCTCAGGGCTTACTCCTGGCTTTGTTGAAGGATCACTCCTGGTGGTGTTTGGAGGACCATATGTGATGCTCAGGATCAAACTAGGTTCAACTGTGTACAAAGAAAGTGCTTCAACCCCTTTGCTCTCACTCTGACCACTTCTTTTAGAATTTCAATATTTGTATTATCAAAACACACATTTTATTAAGATTTAGGAGCTTTTTAGTTTCCCTGTCCAGTAGAAAAAGACATGTAATAGATACTCTAGTAGAGTTAATAGATTTCAGTGGAAACTTGTACAAGTTTCAAAGCTCAGATAAAGACTGAAAAAGAAATGAAATGAAATGAAATGAAACTCATGTTTGCTTTGATGATTTTCAATGTTTTAGATAGACAGGTTAGGACCTGTAATTTTTTTTGTGTGTGTGGTGCTGGGAGGGTTGGGCCACAACAGGAGGTGCTCTGGGTTTACTCCTGGCTTTGTGCTCAGGGATCACTCCTAGGTAATAGGACCATATATGGTGCCTGGGGTCAAATAAGTTTGACTGTGTGAAAGGCAAGTGTACTAATCCCCGTACTATCATGCTGGCCCAGGCCCTGTGATTGCGATCAGAAGTAGGGATCTTTTGGTAGGTTGTGATTATATCTAGAAATAACCACGATGTGCTTGTTCAATGTCTTTAGTGATTCTTTGGAGCCACAGTTTATATCACTTAGGGAAATGTTTTCCTGGCTTGATTCCTACCTAAGTAAGCTGAATGAAAAAAAGATAAGCTTTTCAGCTATTAATTTATTTCTTGGCAAGAGGAATGACACAGTGGCTTGGAGCACCTGTCCTGCAGCCTTGTAAGCATGCAGTCATGAATTCAAATCCCTGGTGTCCTGTGTACACAGAATGTAGTCCTGGCAGCTCTGCTGTTTGAGCCTTCCAAGCCTGATGTCTCTAAAGCTGGGCACTACACAAATAATAATCCTTTATTTCCTTCCTGGAATTGGTTTAACATATATTATTGGGTTCTCGTGTGCCAGGTATAAGGCTAGCGGCTCAGACAAGGTTAACTCTCCAGTATCTTTCTTCCCGTAGGAGCTAGCTGGGACACAGCAGGTTCTCTGAGTAGTTCCCTAGACCAGTGTAAAGTCAGTAGTTTGCTTACTCAGTTTTGCTACGATTAAGAGGCTTAGATGAGAATTTCTCCACTAAATATTATGGCTCTGGATTTTTGGCTTTCCTGACAACTTCCTTTATTCACCATAGCAGCTACAACTCAGTGCATTAACCTCAAGTATACATAGTATAGCATTACTCTATATTCTGAGGAAAATCTGCAATAAATTTTAGATATGGTCCTTGTTATTTTCCGTTTTTCTCAGGCTTAAGAATTGAAAATGTTGTCTTTCGGACCCATGCAACAGGTACTTCCCTGCTTTTCTTTTAAAATAGCTTTATTGAGGTACAACTAGCATACAATAAATTTCCCATATTTATGGTGTATAATTTGGTTTGCTTTGACATGTATACACCGGTGAACTCATAATCACAATCAAGAGAATGAACACTGTCATTAATGGCAGAAAGTTCTTTGTGCTCTTTTATGATCACTTTCTACACTGCGCCTTCAACAAACTATTGTCATTTATTATTTGCATGTTCCAGATTTTTATAAAAATAAAATATACTGTACTTTTTTGTCATTTAGCTTTCTTTATTCACCATTGTTTTTTATGATTCATTGATACATATTATTAGAACTTCATTCCTTTAATATTGCTGAGTACTATTGATTTTTTTATATGGTAAAGTATGAATGGAATTTTTGTGTATATAAATGTCTAGTTGTTCAACACCATTTACTGAGAAAAGTTCTCTGCTAAATTGTCTTTCTGTTGTTGCCAAAAATCACTTTACTTTTAATGTGTGGGCCTATTTCTAGACTGTATTCTTTTCCTTTGGCCTTTTATCTTGTACCAGTATCACACTGTCTTGATTACCAGTGCTTCTAGAAATCAGGAAATACTGATTCTACAACTTTATTCTTTTTAAAACATTTTTTGCCTATTTTAGCCTCTCTGTTTCCATGTGAAGTTTTAGAATAGGTTTGCCAACTACTGAAAAGAAAATCTGGGAAGAAATAACATCTTACCAATAATAAATCTCCTAACTCATGAACATGATATTTCTCTCCCTTTACTGAGGTCTTACTAAATTTCTCTTAATGGTGCTTTGTAGTTTTTAGGTCTTGTACATATTTTGTGAGGTTTATTTTTTTTATATCGTCTGTTTTTCATTCTATGATCATTCTGGTTAGAGGTTTTTTCAGTTTTATTGGCAACTTCAAAAAAGCAGTTATTTCATTAGTTTTTCTTGTTTCTCATTTTATTAATTCCTACTGTTACCTTTATCATTTCACTTTTTTTATTTATTTTGTGTAACTTTACTTGTCTAAATTTAAAACATTTTCTAGTTTCTTAACAGAAGTTGAGGTCACTGATTTGAGATACTTTATATTCTCTAATATAAACTTTTCATGCTTTTGATAATTTTTGCTTGCATTCAGTTCAAAATACATTTTCTCTTTCATTTTTCTTAAACTTACGGATTATTGAATTTCAGCATATTATTGTGGTTTCAATTTTTTTAAAAGAAAGTGAATCTAAATTCATATGGGCCTAATAACAACACAGATTTTATTTGTTGATGTCTAATTACTACTAGAAACTATTTAATTACATTATGATTAAACAGTTTAGTCTGACTTAGTCCTTTTCAACGTATTGAAATGTATTTTATGGCCCAGAATTGGCTCTGTCTTGGTGTCTGTATGCACTTGAGGAGAAGGCTTAGAAGACTGCTGTTGCCAGCTAGAGTATTCTGTCATAGTTATGTCAGTCAGGTTGGTTGATTTAAGTCTTCCTTATCCTTTCTAATATTGTCTACTTATATTATGAGAGAGGGCATTAAAATCCATGGCTTTAATTGTGGCCTTGTCTGTTTCTTCTTGAACTGTTAATTTTTACCTCATTTATTTTCAAGCTGGTATTAAGTTCTATAATGTTCATATTTGTTAAATCTTCTTAATTAACCTCCTTGTCATTTTTATATAACCATCTTGATTTCTAATAATTCTTTGCTCTAAAACCTAATTTATATGATAGTACATATATTACCTAGCCATTCTGCCTAATTTTACTTTTTTTAAAAAAATTACTCTGTAGCAGGAGCACAAGATCCTCCACTTTAGTCTTTTCTAAATTCTGACTTTGTATGACATTTCCATCTATCACCTTCATTCCTTACGGCTACATATTTGACATTACAGTAAGTACCCTTTTGCTTTTAGAAGGAGTCAAGTCATCACCCTCTATGTGTGGAATCTCATCAAATTTTTATTTGTAATTATTTGTATTGATTTTGGAATCCCTTTTTCTTTTTTTCTAAATCCTCAAAGGGAAAATGGAAAATACTCAGTTTCATAGTCTTAGAGTGCCTACATCTGGACCTCTTGGTCACTCCCTTCTGATATAATTTCCTTCCATGATTTCTGACTTCTTCCAAAGCTCAGTCCACTGTGCTGGCTGCTGCTGCTTCTCTCTCTTCTCTTCACTCTTCTGTCATTCTACTTGACCTTTCCTTAGTGTCTCTTCTATTCTCTTTTCCACCTTCCTGGAAGCCCTGGGCTATGAGAATCTCTACTATTATCACTTCAGGTATTGTCTGTATTTGGCCTATTTGCTGTCCTGGCCTCCCCTAAGCAGCAGATCTCTATACAGCTCTGCCTACTTAGACTCCAGGAGCTCTCAAAGCCATCAAGTGTCTGCTCCTAGTGTTTTCCAGGAGTTATGGTCTGCAGGACTGGGATATATGACCCCGCCTTCCTCCAGGATAGCCTGGTTTGCATCGTTTTCCTCTTGTAACACAAAGTAAAACACTACATTTTTGCTTCCAAGGAAAATGATCACATTGGCAGATTCACCCTGAAAGGTCTGATTTGGGGTAGGTGTTATTTGGGGAAGGAATCACGACTGCTACTGGTAAAAGGAAAAAGAGGGATGGACACGAAGAATGTACCAGTTGCACTTGCGGTGTCCTATAGAGAGGAGAAAATAATGTCAAGACTTGTTGAAACTGATACCTTCAGATACTATTAAGTGATTGCTTCACTTACCAAAATAAATTCTCTGTGTTTTTTCCCTAGATTTTCCTCTTTAAAAGGATGTCTTTGGCCAGTCAGAAAAGCCTGCTGAGTAGTTCTGATCCACTCCCAGAGATAAAACCAATAGGAGACCAAATAGCTTTTAAGAGCAGTAAGAAAGATGCCAGTCAGAGCCACAAGGGGCAGAGTCGTCCAGGTTCTTCTCCCCCAAACATAGAGAAAGGGTCAAGATCCTGTACTCTGCTATGAATATATATTTATGTTTTTGTGGTATTGGAGCACATTGAAATTCATACTTGAATAAATCCTTGGTTTCTGAAGGAAGTTTTTAATAACAAAATGTTTAAAAATATAAGTTAATATGGTTTACTTGGTTTGAACAGGACGACCAATTTTGATATTTATTTATGCTAAAATTTCTCCAAGAAAACTCAAACTCATTTAAGTGTTGTGGCCTTAACTTCAGTGTTGCAGTAAGAAAAATATATTTTTGTAAGTTAAAGTTAAATTAAGATACTATGTAGTTTACACTGAAATATGTTACTTCTTTGTAATTTCATAAGGCAATATTTGCAATCTCATAACACTGTAACAGTTTTAATGTACTTGGAATTTTCAAAAATTTTAAAAAATGAGTAACTGTTTTTGATGAAAGTATTTTAATAAACTGCATCTGGTCGTTTCCACTGTTTATGTTGATAAATATCAATAAAAGTTTCTGGAGCTACTCGGGGTCATTGGTTGACTAAATGAAAGCAAAATCTAGGTTTTTTTTGTGGGGGAGGGGAGTTCCCAAATAATGCTCAGGAGGACTGGAAGCCACTTATAGTGATGCTTTGCCCACTAGACTGTGTGCTAGGGATCAAACCTGGGCCAACCAGGCAAGTACCCTACCCACTGTACTATCTCTCTGGCCCAAGATCAAAATTTGAAATAGTAAAGGTAAAGGTAAAGGCCCTCCCGTTGATCGTCGATTTGCTCGAGCGGGCCCAGTAACGTCTCCATTGGAGACTTTGTTGTTACTGTGTCTGGCATATCCAATACTCTCGGTAGCTTGCCGGGCTCTCCGAGAGGGGCGGAGGAATCGAACTCGGGTCGGCCATGTTGGCCGCGTGTAAGGCGAACGCCCTACCCGCTGTGCTATCGCTCCAGCCCCTATTCTACTATTCTGAAATAGTAGTTCAGAAAAAAACACTGCAATACAGCTTTTATGGGTCAGGATCCTGGGAAGTATTTAATTGGGTCCTTTGCTCTGGGTCTCACAAGGCCACAATCCAGGTATATTACTAGGGCTGCCATCTAATCTAAGATAGAGTTCTTATTCCAGGCCCATGTGTTGTTGACAGAATTAAGTCTCTTGCAGATGAGGAATTTTAATTATACCTGAAAAAATGTTCACATTTTCCATATACTATAACCTGACTGATGGAGTGGTATCTTATCGTGTGCACGCAGTGCACTTACACTCAGGGGGGAAGGGTATTTAGGTGAAGTACACCAGCAGGTGGGAACCTTAGGGGCCCCATTTTAGAACTCTGCCTACCACAAAGGGCATAGTTTAATCCCACTTATGAGCTTTGCTTCCTCTTGGCCACCGTATATATTTTGAGTGCCAGTATCAATACTATCCCAGTACCACAACAGAATAGCAAACATTTTTATGATTTATCCTTAATACAATTAGAATTTATGAGTATAATATTTATACAGATTGTTTTATAAGATTTAAATTCACATATACTCTAGACTAACATCTGTTACACTCCTGTGCAGGAGCTATAAAGATGGAGTTTCTTGTTTTGCTGAAATGGGGCAGTGACTATAGAAGAAAATGTTTTACTCAGAAGCTAAAATGAATGGTCTATTCCATGTATATAGACACAGAAATGTAAGGCTTCTGTTGTAGTAGACTTTCCAGCTCTCTTCTTATTTCTTGGGGTTAGAGCTTTGGATGATGGCATTAACCCTAGTTACCATTGTCAACTAGAGGCAAGATACAGTTGAAATGAAACAAGCTTGACTGTGTCAGTTTCTCCTATGAGAACCAGCCACCTGTGGCATGGTCAAGTCATACCCTAGATCACCACATTGTACCGTGATCAACACATTGAACAGGGATCAAATTCAAGTCCTTTTGCATAGCTGGCTCCTGTTCTCTCTCCTTTGATCCCGCAAAATCTAATTTTAAAATATTGAAGTACAGGATTAAGTCAAATCAATTAGCTATGAGACAAAACACATAGGACAAGCATGATCGAATCAATGAGGTATCATTGAATTCAATTCAGTAATTGAATCATTGAATTGAGTCAATGACGACTCCTTTGTCAGTTCTCAAAATAATTCAGAATTTTACTAGAGTGATTTGTTGGCAATAAGCAAAATTGTGAGGCAAATTTAATGCTATGAATAAATATTTTTATACAGTTATAAAAAATACTTTGTAAACCATGGTGTTTAAATAAAGTTAAAAAATTAAAAAAAAAAAACTACCAGCCACCTCCCCTTGGACAATGAATGCTTGTGTTATTTTCTAAATCTTTATTTTTTCTTTTTGGGTCACACCAGGCGATGCTCGGGGTTACTTCTGGCTCTGCACTCAGGAATTACTCCTGGTGGTGCTAGGGGGACCATATGGGATACTGGGAATCGAACCCGGGTCGACCACATGCAAGGCAAATGCCCTACCCACTGTGCTATTGCTCCAGCCCCATAATCTGGTTTCATACATTACTTTTACATTAAAGAAATACAGAATCCTTTCTTTGTGGCAGGTATTATTCAGAAGCTCAGTAAGAAGGAAGAAAATGGGGTATGAATGATGTGCCACACTAATTGAATATGTTAAGACAATTAAAAAACCCATTTTGTAATGAGATGGTAAGATAATGGGCACTAAAACAAAAACCAAAGCCAACATATTTGAGAATTCTAAAAATTTAAGAAAAAAAACATTGACAGAACTGAAGAGAATAATCAATTTGTACTAGTTTCAAAAATAAAAGAAATTGCATTTACAGATACATTAATTTTCATTAAAAGGTGAAATGATGGGCTGTAGGTATAGTACAGTGGATAAGGTGCTTGCCTAGCATAATGTTCCATCCTCAGCCCTGCTAGGAGTGATCCCTGAAGTCTGAACCAGGAGTAATCCCTGAGCATAGCTGTGTGTGACCCCCAAAACAAAGTAGTGAAATGATTTAATCCTTCAACTATTCATCTTCATTATCTTTTCCAGTAATTCCACTGACCCCTCATGTCACTTAGGACATTTTCACTGACCTTCTGTCGACCCCAAAATTAAGTCCCTTGATTTAAACATCAGGGTTATTTACATGTTATGGATCAAATATTAAATGATGTTAAAACAAATATCAGTAGCAATCGGATTTTAAGGTATAAAAGGATATGCCACTCCATGCAAATGTTAAAACATTAAAGAGGAAAATTGGTACTCCTCAAGGCGCTCTAATATATGAAAAAGAAATTTATAGTTAAAAGTACTCATTATTTTGCTAGCGTTGTAACAAAGTTCCACATCTAGGCAGCTTAAACAGAAACGTACAGGGCCTATGCAATAGTACAGAGGTTAAAGTACTTGACTTGCACATGGCCAGCCTTGATTTGATTCCCAACACAGTAGATAATCCACTGAGCACCACCAGGAGTGATCGCTGAGCAGCACCAGGTGTGGCCGCAAATCCCCTCCCCTCAAATAGACAGCAAATATACTGCCTTATGGTTCTGAAGGCTGGAAGTAAGTCTAAAATCAAGATGTTGGTGAGAAGGCTCTAGAAAACATTTGTCCTCTCCTAACTTCTGGTCATCTTAGGCATTTTCGTGATTTCAATATTTGATTGGTCACTTGCATGCTTTGTCCTCACTTGGTATTATCCTTTTGTGTCTTTTCACATTGCCTTCTTTCTGTGAATCCCTTTGCAAATTCCTTTTCTAATTAGGACACCAGGCTTAGCGGATTAGAACTCACCCTAATAGCCTCATTATAACTTACCTCTTTAAAGGTCCTATTTCTACACAATAATGATTTGAGGTACTGAGGAAGGGGAGGTTACTTCAGCATATCTTTTAAAGCAGACATAATTCAGCCCATTATAGTACTTCAGGGTAAGGGTTACAGCAGGTACAAAAATATCAAGTATTCTTCCTCCATTTTTATTGAGATGTGGTACTATACAATACTATTAAAGATGCTTTCATGCAAATACTTTCCAAGCCATCACTAGAGTACCTGCTTTTCTCACCAATGCCCCCTATACTCCTCCCATCCACCCACGCCCATTTCTTTCCCACTCAGGTGAGCTCAGTTCTGTAGACTAACTGCAGTTTTGTTACTCCATTACTATGTACTATGATAATACTATCCCACAAATGAGAGACTATTCTATATCTGTCCCCCAATTCCTGACTGACTACATTCAGCATGATAACCTCACGTTACACTTTTATACAAAAAAAGTTTATACACTTTTTTCTGTCAGTGATCTTTCTTGACTCTTTTGGAATTCTTCTAATGGAAAATTGCATGATTTCATCTTATAGCTGTGTAGCATCCCATTGTGTATCACAACTTCTTGATCCGTTATCCATAGTTGACATTTAGCCCATGTTTCCGTATTCTGGCTATTACACATGTACCACTTCGAATTAATGTTTTTGTGCTTTGGAGTTAGAAGCCAAGAAGTGGTATCTCTGGGTGTATGAGAGTTCTATTCTTACATTCTTGAAAAGTCGCCTTAATACCATAATGTTTTCCATAGAGGCTGAACCAATTGACATTCAACAGTGAATGAGGGTTCCTTTCTCACCACATCCCCACCTATACTTGTTGTTTCCAGTCTTGCTTTGTTTTGGGGCCAAACCCCAAAGCTGTGTTTTGGGGCCACACCCCAAAGCTCAGGGCTTACTCCTGGCTCTATGCTCAGGCATAAGTCCTAATGGTGCTCTAGGGATCATGTGTGGTACCAGAGATCAAACGGGTTGGTCACGTGCAAGGCAAGTACCCTTCCTACTGCGCTATCTCTTCAGCTCCTTTCCAGTCTTTTTGACATATGCATTTCACTGATGTGAGATGATATTTCAATGTTGTTTTTAATTTGCATTTCCATAATAATAATGATAAACACTTTTTCATATGCCTGCTAGCCATTCATCTGAGTTCTGGGGAAGTATCTTGTTCATCTCTTCTCCCCCATTTTTGGATAGGGTTATTGGATTCTGTTGTTAAGTTTTGTGAGTACTTTATAAATCCTGGACATTAACCCTTTATCTGCTGTATCCTGTGCAAATAAATATATTCTCCCAATCTGTAGGATGTCAAAAATATTGTTTTAAATCCCTTGCCCCATAGATTCTTAAAATATATAGACTCCTGTTAAATTCTGACTCTATTGGTAAAGCTCTCGGTGGAGACGTCTTGAACATCCATTTGATGTAACTAGTAAATCACCAATTACAGAGCAGAAGAGGGGAAGTTGAATCAAGAGGTGGGTGGGGAAAAATCACCAATTACATTAACTTCTACTAGGGCTCTCTTTTTAAGCATCACAGACATAGTGGGCACAAGTAAATGTAAAGTGATTATCAAATAAATTACCACATTTACAGTTGTAGAGTGTATACAAGAGCTCATTCTTAAGATGTTTGCACACAAACTTGAAGCTTATGTTTAGTCCCTTCCCACAGATCTCCAGACAGCTAGGCTGTCAG